ACTGCCTAGCTATAAATGAATGCAATCTGATGAAGATTACGTATGAAGATTTATATGACGCTTTGAATCAAAGTTTCAAAAGAAAGTAAAATGGAAAGAAAAAATAAATCAGATCATACTCTTCTGATGTCTTTTTCGTACGATTCTGAAATGCTTTCGACACAATCACTGAGAGAATTTATTGTTTCGGGGCTCGAGGAGTGAAACTCTTCTTGAGGAGCAATCCAAAACTAGAAGACGGAGGGCAAAGATGGGACTGGCATATGAACTGCGTTCCAGTCTGATGGCAAGACCTTGTATTTGGTCACGAATAAACTACAGAGCTGCTGAAATTATGAGTCCAAACTATCATCAGAGGAGTATCATCATAGAAGAAACACAGCGCATGAAACCAACACTTCAGGTGGTGTCAATATTAATTCTAAGTGAAAAACAAGTAGCTTGAGATGCCAGCTTTCCAGCTTAGTACTCACCGCATCCGATAACGCGTCCGCTGGGTTGTGAATCAAGAACAAGAAGCACAGCGCCTCTGTTATAAACAGTATGTATTGCATTAAAGCGATGCTTCCACGCTGCATGTTCGTCATCAGAAAGTAAATTGCGAAGAGGAGGTCACTAAGATACCAAATTGTCAGGAAAATAAGAATCCACGAATACGCACGATTTATGAGCTTGATAGCTTGGTCGATGAGTAGCATCTGATGTTCTGTTTCTCTCAAAAAATATTTAGCTGACTTCGGTGGCCGTGCAATTTTTGCTCTGGCGGTCGTTGTGGAAGGAAATAAACCTATGAGATTTTTTGCCGGCTTGGCGTTGTACTTACTAAGCAAGGTCCCATATTCTGTCAGTTCAGCGTAAGTTTCCTGGAATCTTTCTTTCAGCACACCGACGAAGAAATTGAAACTGAGAATTATAGTGAAAGACAATGCCCAAAGCAAAAAATAAGCAAAAATGTCGATCAGTTCAATCAGGTAAGGTTTTTCTCTGTTAATGAGATCTACGATATTTCTTATTAAAGAATAGAAGTCGGTTAATCGAGTAGCAACCAAATAAATCAGCAAGAACGAATCAGAAATGAAGTGATATGGTCGATGCGCGAGAGAAGACTCGGCGTGATAGATGACAGAGATAACATCGAAAAGTTCCGAAAACGAGCGTTGACTGAACATCTGAACATGCATTTAATGACTGATGACATTGTCATGACGGGCGTGTTAAGATTCCAAGCAGTAATGAACATCTCGGTCAAAGATTTAAACGAGTAGTTCCGAGTACAGAAGATGTATAGTGAACATGTGACGCCGAGAGCGTTCATTATAACATACCAGGCTAACCTCTTTGCATTATCGAGGCTCAAGTCATTTTTTTGTTGGTCTTGATCCAACCACTTTGGCTGATTTTGAGTCCCTGTTTTGTTCCCACCGCTGGAGCCATTGTGCCATCTTCCACCAACCTCGTCCCGTTGATCAGGCGGGGTCGCCTGCCGAAGACCACAACTGCCCTGGATGTAATGGACCATCATGATTCCTGCCTTCCGGAACGTAGCCTTCAACACTTCAAGCCGTCCGTATCTAGGCCGTGGGTCGAACCATTTTGTGAATACAATGTTCCAGTGTCTTCATTATCAGATGCCGTTCGACGAACAGCTTGAGTTACCATCACTAGGTCTCGACACGGACTGAACATATGTGGTTACATGAACGCAAATGGCTGCTCTGTTCTATGGAAGACAAAGACTTGTCAAGAGCAGTGAGGAAATCGTCTGACCCGCTAATCAATCTGCATGGGGAGCGCAGCCGTGGTTAACAAAATTGACTCGTAAACAGGCCCTGGGCCCAACGCCAACCCATCAGCATGCAATGTCTACACATAGCCTCATATCAATGAGCTGTGGGTAACTCCGGCTAACAGTAAATCCGCTTTGCACAACACAGCCACTGCTTCACAGAGCCAGAGCAAAACTGGCCGGAGCGCAACAGGCCCTACCGCAACAGGCAGCGCAGGTTAATTAGGTTAGGTTACGTTAGGAGTAGCATGTTGCGGTAGGGCCTGTTGCGCTCCGGCCAGTTGTGCTCCGGCCTGTATGCGCTCCGGCCTGTGACTGAACGGCGCTGTTGTGGTGGGCGCTTTGTGTCAAAAGCCGTGAAGATGCCCGGCTGCGTTACGCTCGGGAAGGTATATGAATCGCACTGTGGACTTGGGCTATGCTGACCTCTAGCTATCCACCCAAATCAGGAATGTTATTTTTATTTCAGCAAGGCAGCAACCACCGAAGTATGAAATGTACTACGAAAATCTGAATTGGCATACAATTTTCTAGTATAGTTTCCCTTTAACGAATTAATCTCATATAAATGAAAATTTATTGTTCATGCGCGTATCGGGTTTGCAATGNTGCAATGTCCATGCCAACTAATAGAGTTGCTAATGTCAAGTAGACAGCGTTCAGTCTTCAGGCAATGGGCAACGCCTGCCACAGAGATGCTGGTAAACGTATTATAATTAGCGGTTTCAGCGTTCATTAGGCCACAGGTCTGTCGCCGATTCTTAACATCGCAGAACATTCACAGCTTGTTGCGGTCTCGAACTAACAACTCACTGATTCAAATTCTGCTGTTTAACCGCCCGGCCTCGTTGCCGATTCTGACCAGAAACTGCCGCACAGAGCTGGGATCGAACCCTCGCTTCTCTGCGCCAATCATGGTACTCTGAACTGTAACCTCTTAGGTTGGGAACTGTAACCACCCTGCCCAACCTATTAAGCATACGTTGTCTTCCTTTGATCATTCATGAACTAAAATTTAATTAACATTAAACTTGCCTTGTGTCGTGTCTAAGCTTCCTTGCGGGACTGACACCAAGCGGCAGACATTTGGCAACTGTCAGATCTACTAGCCGTCTGCACTATCCCCGCTGTACAAGCACCTTATCCTCACCGCATTCGCTGGAGTGTCCGCCTCGGGTTGTGTATCAAGAACGAGAAGAGAAGCGCCTCGATGGCAACCACAGATTGTCTCCATTTCATTATAGCCGCTTTCAATTCTTACAATCTTAAAAAATCGAAAATATACCAAATTGACATGAAAATTACAATCCTTGAATGAACATCATTTATAAGCGCAATCGCTTGGTCGATGAGCAGCAGCCGGTGTTCTGGGTCGTTCAGAAACTTGTCAGGCGTCGCTAGTGGTCGAACGGCGTCTTCAGTGGCAGGAGTGGCTGTTGTCGAAATTAAATTCGTGGGATCTTCAGGTGTCTCAGTGTGAAGTTGATAATATAATTGATAATTTATAATTGAGCTCCATACTCTGAAAGTTCGTCGAAAATTTTTTCGCAATTTCCTTTGAGAACACCAACTAAGTAATTAAAACTAAAATTAAAAACTAAAGCCACCATAAAAAGGAAAAATAAACCCAAATAACTGTTGATTTTCATTACAGCGTATTTGATTCCAAGATTCCTACGCACAATGCTACGCTGCGCAACCACTCACGTTTTAGCTGCGCATTTTTAGCTATACTTCAATGAGGTCACCACGCAGGCGACGATAACGGAGATCGGGAAGTTTCATAATCTTCAATCTTTCTCCATAAGACTTGCCCTTTTAGCCTTAAATTCGAGGAAAACTTATTCAGGCGGTGGGCGAGTGGGTACTCACTATTCAAAATACATGCCATTAATTCCGATAGTTTGTAGAAGGTACGGCGGCTGAATATGCACTTGACCGCCGATAATACAACCATCATTGGGCCAATAATGGACCAAACGGCTTTAAAAATGCCATCCATGGTATTATTTGAGTAATCATAATCACTGAAGAAATAGATGCATCGGGTGATGTACAAGGCATTCATTATGAGACACCAGACTAATTTGTACACATTCTTAAAGTTTGAGGGATTTGTTTGTTTCCGTTGTGGAATTCACCGAAATTCATTATTTTGAATGGTTAAGTTTTTACACGAAGAATGCTTAATCACGCTCTCAGGAGCTGGAATAGAGCGATCCTGCATGCTGCCCAGATGAATCGGTCACTGTATTCCTCTCGCGGAAAAACCCAATAAATATAAGAGATCATCTCGCTAATAAATTTGCGAATCTTCTCATTTGCGCATCATCTCACTAAAAAATAACGTGTAACTGAGATGTAAATAACACGAGTCATGTTTTTAATTTGGGGAAAGATTGTTGGGAAATTAAAGTGAGCCTGCTAGAAAGAAACAGGTATTACAAGAAATGTAACGAGTATTTTCGTTGGGTAACAGCCAACAATTAGGAATGAACTTCGACCGTCCATGCAGCTCCCGAGCGTCAGCGCACGGAGCCTTTAATTTGATCGCCATGACCAGGAAGGAGTACGGCTCTTTAGTTTAGAGCAGTAAACAAACTATGGGGATTATTTATTACACGCTGTATTAAATAATCGCGTTGATCTTTGATGAAAAAAATGACCAATAAAAGCGATCCTAATGCAATCATTCAGCAGTCAAGTTTCAACTGAAATGTTCAATTTACCATATATATAAAATTTTAGCGCGATTTCCCTTTTCAGTTGAGGAAAATTCAACTACCACAAAATTAGAGATGGAAAAGAAACGCCTGAGGGTAGAGAATTTATTAATTCTGAACTGTGTTCAGTAAATCAATTCTGAAACCTGTGTATTAACTCTGAAAGTGTGTGAACTGATTCACCCTCTAAGAGAGGGTGAGTTCACCCTCGAGACCTTCAAGAGACGATTGGACATGCGCCTGGACACAATCGCTGATCGACTGCCTCTGCACCACTACCGACAGTGAGAAGCAAGCAACAGCATCGTGCATCAGGTGGCCCAAATGAGGGCGGATGAGCGATAATTATCAGAGGCTGCGATCCATCGTGGCCTGGGGCTGCCACGTTCATAACGCCAGATAAGGATGCTTCGCCCAACAGTACTTGGGCGACAATCAAGAATGATTCGGTTTGGAAATAGCTTGAACTTCAAGGGCAAAATTAAAATGGAGAACTGCACAAATTTTCATTCAATTTCATAAGTTAGCCGCATGTGAATTCAGAGAGATGACTCGGATAGTAGAATGCAGAAATTTGAGGGATAGCGCTTTCTCGGCACTTCAAGATGACAGGAAAAACATGCGCTTCCAAAAAAGGATAGTGGATAATAGGATTTTGAATTGAATTTTCACATTTTCGCCTTGACCCAACCGCCGAACTGCTGGGCCCCTTCTTCGTTCTCGTCTGAACCTGCGAAGTTGGCTTTGCACCTGGCGTACCAAGCCACCACTTTGGGTTGTCCCGAGATGTCGATTCCTGTCAAATAATTTTATTATGTACGTCTGAAATTTTCAGTCGCAACTAATCCACATCAATTCAAGGTTATAATAAAGCGTCAAGAGTGACTAAATTATGGCAATAAGCTGAAACCAATAATATGTTAAAAACTAATTGAAAATATATATGATATCGTGTGCAAGCTAATTTTAATGAAAATTTTTCATTGTTTTCATTTCAGTATTCCTTACAAAAATACTGATAATTTGTACAAGATGAAGATGACACTGTTACTAAACAGATAACACAGTGGAGATATGAATTACCCGAGGCCACGAAAGTTGCCACGGTCGCCACAACAGCGAAGTCGGCGATGGTAGGGGAAGCTCCCGCTAGGTAGTCCCCTCCCTCGAGGTAGCCGTTCAGCCAGCCCAGGGCCTCCATGATGGGTTCCAGTTTTTTCTTGTCCACAGGGGCGCCGTGAAATACCGTGGGATACTAAAACAAGGTGAATTTATCATCATTTCATCGAAACCAGATTACGGTAACTTCTACGAGACGCTTCCCTATTAAAAAATGTATAACTATAAAAAAATAACTCGAGCATTATTTGCAACAGGCGAAATGTCAGAAAGGTTTCGCAATTTACAACAATAGCATCAACGAAACCATACCTATAAGAACTCTCATGCAGTGATGCATGCAAACATCACCTGAAAAACGCAACGTCGATACGAGTATGCTCGTTCGTAGCATTTGTAAAACTTCACTGCTAAATAAAGACGAATCTTCTGAACACTTACATTTTTTTCAACTGAACACTACAACAACATGTTTTCAGGTGGTTCTCCGAGCGTACATAGCGAATATAGATAATCCGAGTATTAGGTAAATGCTCACCACGTACTCGCCGAACCTCTTGTAAAGGGTGCCCATGTCGAAATAAAGCATTCGGTCTACGACGGCCCGCGTCTTTGGGTCCTTAGGGTACAGGCTGTCGTCTTTGCCGTACTGGTTCACGAGATACGCGCAAATGGCGCGACTGAAACAAATTAATTGGATGATTAATGCAGCGGCTGTTGCTGGGAAATGAGAAGTTGAATCTCTTCATTAAATATGGAATGCACTGACCATGTTTCTCAATAGTTGGCTCACCAGTTTTGAAGCATTGAACCAAAAGAACTCAGCTTCCAGTAATAAACGACAACCCGTAACACGGAGGGATAAAATATGTAACAATTTAAGCAAATCAGGAAAAAATTATGATATTTCAAGAGAAATTGCTTTTAAATTTCATTGAAGTTAATTTAGAAAAAATATTAACTCACAGGAAGTTTCAGGAAATACTCGGACGCTCATGGATTCGCCAACCATAAATGCAATACAATTTGTAATTTATCAGACGAATTTTGGTGGAAATGAAGCAATTACTTGATACAGCCTAATGCACTTCAGTTTTCTTTTACCTGAAAAATGTATGTAGTGGTGACGCGACGTGAATTTAGACTTTCGAAACACCAGTGTAACTGAAGATTGATTAGAACCGACAACGCAAGGTTGCAAATGCCCCATGGTTTATGATATCACACCCTCGAGATTAATAAAAAATAATATTCAATTTTCACCTTTCCCATAGCTTGAAGTCGCCGTCAACCAGGGTAGGTACACAATGCTCTGGATTGATGGCAAGGAACTCTGGGTTGTTCTGCTCTCCCTTCATCAGATCCAAGAACTTGAGGTTGAGTTTAAGCCCGAGAGCCTTAGCCGTGAGCTGGCAAGACCGGCACGGAGCGGAGACGGGGTGGTAGTAGAAATCCATCTTGAATGGTTTTGACGGAGACTTTGAGAAAACATTTTATTATTCCATTTTAACTTCATCATTGAAATCAGGGCTCCCGAATAATCACTTATATAGCGGAGTGGATAAACAACAGTAGGCGACCAACAATTAAATGTTTTCATTTCACCTTTAAAAAATCTTTTACAATATTCTTCATATTGAAATTCTTCTTTCTAAGCTGTACCTGACAAAAATTACTGCACGATTGATGGTCATCTCTGAACGGCAATACTCCCCATAGCAGAGTGTAGCTTCTCCATACGTATACGATATAGATGGCATTAGATGCTATTGCGCAAGAGTTTTTATTTACACATACAGTCACAGTGTTAGCAATAAGAGTAAATAAATTTATAGAAAAACGACATTAACACATTCAAAGAGTAAAGATGTGTAACATACTGTAAATAAGATACTATCTCTTGCTAAAACCGAGATCTTATCTACAAAAATTCAACCATTAACCAACCTGATAACAGACTTTTCCCGATGTCGTCAACACACGCCGAGCGTCAGCGAGCAACTGAAGCAGCCGACCGGCGATAACCGCCAGCGGCCAGACTCGAGTTGAAGAATGATTCCGCTCCCAGGATCTTCTTGTGAAGTACGTGCACTCGTGCAGCAATAATATTATTAATATTGCGCTCAAATTAAACGCGTATTATAGAGTTCAAGCTTAGTTATTGCTTTACGACTATAATTGCATAACATGTTTCATATATATTGCAACTGCAGTTTCATAAGTATATGTATTATTCCTCGACGGCCTCTTTCAGCTGAAACAATATGTAAATAAAAATATTATAAATGAAAATTGCGAGATAAAGATCAAATTTTGATTGACTTGTAATACTACCTTACGTACTAGATATATTACGCACTAAATGAACTAAGTGATTAAAATATTAGCATATAAATACGTTTTGCATACTTATACAACGTTTTATTTCTCACAACTTTTTGACTTACCCCGGAACCCTAAGAAGTCAGTAGAGTGAACTCTACTTATTGAAACAGACATTAAACCTTATTTTAGTTTTGATCGTGCGGCTGTATATTGAGGAAAATGTGAGCACAAATGTGGCTTTCGCCCGAGGGTACTGACCTTGACAGACTATTGTGGTCGGTAGCGCAGCCAGCTATGGGTGCTTCTTTCTAAAACCCTCTCCAGAAACGAAACAAATCTCAAATTAAGATATAATCCATCGAAATTTACTTGGATTTACGAATTAAAAAAACTGTTAAGATGAAACGCAATCTCGAAAGATGAAAGAAATGCTTGAATTAGAAGCCCGACAGCGATACGCTTCATGAGAATTCAAGGACACGAACTGTGTTCTCAACTTGACGCTCTGACTCTGCAATGTGCATCCGTTTGTTTAAATGAGAGTGCAGTTTTTAAGCTCGCTGTTCTTTTGGAAAACACTGTAATCCTATTACGCAATAGCTGGAAGAAGGTAGTAAAGTTCAATCACTAAAAGCAATGAAAAAGGCGATTATCACAATTTGAACTTTTCTGTTAATTTTTGAAAAGAAGCAACATTCATTTTTATTAAAACGTTTCATACAACAAGCCTGCTTAATGAAAAACAAACACGTATCACTGATGTTGATTGCATTTATTGCTGTGGAAACGAATTTGAATCTTACGAATATATGACAATTCGCATAACTCGTATAACTCAAAACTGGTTTACTTTAAACCTCGTTGGATAAGTAATAATAACAATTTGCTACTTACTTCTAGGCTATTTTTCAAAATGTGGCTCGTAATGTATAAATCGACCGTATTGCAGTAATTATACACAAACATACACAAACATCGTAGCTGAATGATTGAAAAAATAGGATCGAAATTGTGATTGCTGCGTGTTTGTAAGACGTCGTTTCTTCAGTTACAGGTCGCATGAAGCAGGCCTTTAATTGCTTTTGCTTACAAAATCTTACCCTTCGAGTTAAAATACGGCTAGAATTCAGTGCGCAGCTGACCTTGAAAGTGGTTGAGGATTAGTCCCTCCAAGGCCTGTCGAAAAAAAATGTGCAGGCGAGACTCATCATGCGATGAGATATTCAATCGCAGAGACTGTGTGTTGCGGTCATGCCACCATTCTAATAGTATTTTAAGCGTATTTTGGTGTGCTATTTACATTAACGACTAAGGTAACAGGCCGCATGACTCCCATATGACTTTACATTAATGACTAAACATTAATGACCTTGCATTGAAGACTTGTATTAAATTTGAAAATTGTTTAATTCTCGATGCCGATTAGCACAGAACAAGAATAGTGTTTTATGTTTTAGCTGGTCTGATACACATACTACATGGGAATATTATACACTCCAAATATAATTTATTGACAATTAACTTATGTCGCGTTTATTGGCTAAACTGAAGAAGCAAGCGAGATAACTACGCAGAGTCTAATCCACTAATGTATTCAGAAACGTATTCAGTTATCACGTATATGATAACTGCGGTGGTGAAGGATGGATGCAGAGGTGATCAGAGATGATTGACTCAACGCTAGCAGCCATCCTTTAATTGATGTCAAACATTAGACGAGACTTGACTGCTATTTATTGAACCTTAATGATAGAACATAATGACGAAGTCACCTGCTATTCATGATTACCGGCAAAAAGAATGATTGAACAGAACAACGTCGTTAAGGAAATTGAAGCTAGTAAGTTAAGTTTAGCACAGAATGGAGTTCAAGTATGTGGAGTAGAAACGCTTCCTTAAGCATTTATGTAATTTCAAAGCTATATTTTGAGATGCAAATGTAGTAAGTTTTCATATTCATTTGATGTCATTTTTAATCATTGGGTATGTAAATTAGGAGCCATCCCGGTCAGCTGTTTGATAAAAATATGGGCGTCTACAGATCATCTAAAATAAGTGTTGAACATAAGTGTATGCTCTATACATTAAGAAATCAAAATAATCCAGTTGATAGGATGGGTTTAAAAATATTGGCTGCTAATTAATGAAAGAACGCGGCAATGATAGTAAAAAAATAAATAAGTACTCACTGCACTGAGTGACAGGGAGCGCATTTTCTCAAAATTGACGAAAACGTAAAGTCACGGACGGATGGACGGACATAACAAACACAATAGCGCCTTTTTTCCATAAATGAGAAAATACGCTAAAAAGTTTTATTTTGATTATTAACCTTCATTGTAACTTCTTAGGTTTGATTCTTGGGGCAGGTAAAAGAACTGATTTTGACTTGCTTTACACATTTTCTTTTGAATTTCTCCACATAATTCAATGTCCTTTTGCATTTATAAGAAGTTTAAATTCTTATAAATCAGGCCAATTGTGCAATTGTCTCTCTTAGCTGACATTCTGACTTTTCGATTAAAATTCTCCTCCCATCTACACAAGCGATACCTTAAGCTATAGGGGTCCTGTAAAATAATGTATAAATTGAACTACTCATCCAAAAATTCAAATTTCTTGTGGATATAACACACAAATCACGACTATTGCTACAATAAACTATACTTCTGTCTAACCTAAATTTGGTTATTTCCTCTTGAGTCATCAGCAACATTGGGATATGCTGTATGCAGTAGCTAAGTTATATCAAAAAGGTTCAAGTGAAGTAGTAAAAATTAATTCAATAGAATATTTATGAAGTAGTACTGTAGCACAACTCGAAATAGGAATTTCAAACTTTTTCTATTCAATGCGTTTTTATTTGGAGTCAGAGCTACTAGGCTTATACGTATACATGCTTATATACGTGATGTCTCTTGCACGAATTTACCTGTTGAAACATATAGAAGAAGAAAGGAGTTCTTATACGTAAAATTCGACTTTCGAGTTGCTTTAATTATTGATATTTATCTAATTATAAGATGCATTTAAGTTTTCCCAAACAAACGCTCGCCCAACAAGCGATTATTATAACTTTCCATGCGCATACAGATGTGAATTTGTTTAAATATTTGTAGAAGTTATAGAAAATTAGCGAATTCTTTACGGGTAACTAAAGAAAATTGGCAAGAGGACTACAGCTTCCACCCATGGGTACATTGTTCGATAATATCATGTATGTTTTCAGAAACATTCATTGCCTTAACTTGCGTACAACACTCAAGTTTGTAAGTGGAATTTTTGTCGATAAAGTGTGTAGCAGGAGTTTCACTTATCATGATAAACATATGAATATAGATTTAAACGGAGCAATGTATGGGGTTTACTTTACCACTCCACATTAAGTTAATAACTCCAATCAGGAAATTGAATGGCCTAGATAGCTAACTTGAATTATTCGCTGAGGACAGACAGAAGCACAGGGATCGGCAGGACGAATTTGGTTGGGAGAAATGAACATAAAATTAATTAATGAGTTTTATTTATTTGGCATAGCTCACGTGACCTGTTCGATGATGTGGTGATGAAGATGATGTGCTCGGCTTAGTGATGTGCTCGTTTTTGCGTGGCGAATTCAGACGCCGTGGTGAAGTTATCCGGGCACGATACGATATTGAGACTCGCAGTGACACTGAACTGCTAAACTGATTGTTCTAGAGACACGATATTGGTCATTGAATTGAATGTTCCAGAGATACGTTCGAGTACTGTTCGAGCATGTGGAGTCGAAAGAATGCCTAAAGCTTTTACTTTCAAAACTACATTTTAATATGTAATTGTGGCACATCTTTGTACTCTTCTTGTGTCATCTTCAGTCATTTCGAGGTGATTGAAGCCATCGCGGTGAACACACGAGAACACCGCTGAACACATTTCGTTAAAAATATACACTGCAGGTATTATGATGGTTGCCAATACCAACATTTTATTCTCGTTATTTAACTATATGCTAGCAAGCATATATAACATTAAAAATATTCACTACATACGCATATCTTTAATATATTTCTAGTTAGCAATCGCATTTCGTGTGAACGCAAGAGCACTCGTAACTTTCTACTATTCACAAGAATTTTTGCAAATGAGGAACTGAACAAACTAAAGTATTCTTCCCTGATTACTGCAGAAGAGCAATTCTTCTTTCGGTGACTAAAGAAGATTGACGTTCCTCTCGCTTTTGAATAGTTTTTCTGATTCGGCGAGTCTGTGTGGAATGTGCATGCTACATTACATGCCACGTTTGCTTAATTAGTGTGTGCTTACACATAATAACTGTATTAGCTACTTCATATGTCAGGTTTGCTCAGTAAAAATTAGTTACTACTTCGAAGTTTTAGCATCCCGAATCTACCGGTTTGAACGAGGGAAATTTCGTTCCAGACAAGTTGCTCACCTCTCCCAGTTACACACATGATGTCAGTAATTAAATCTACACTGCGGTCAACTTGTCCGTATATGTATAAACTATCGTCGTCCAACTGAATAATCTTTTAATTGAAATACATCACATCTAGGCCTGTATCCGTAAAGTAGCTATTTGTCTTCAACTTCATTGGCAGTGTGAAAACTCTGAACTCTTTTATTTCCTCGTATCACTATAGGAACAACAAATCGAATATATATACGACTTTAACTCCAACTTGTCAATCTAATTCTAACCTATCGCATATACCGACCCGTCGCTGACTTGAAATGAAAACACAGTATTTAGTTTAAAAAATGATAGAAAAAATCTTTATGACAGCAATCGTCATAATCTGGGTGTTGTAATTATACGATGGGTACATTTTTGGATGGGTATCCTTAGTCCTTAGTATCCTTAGTATTTGTTTGGGACATAGCAGTCCCAGGCCACGATGGATCGCCGCCTCTGATTATCGTTCATCCGCCCTCATTTGGGCCACCTGATGCACGATGCTGTTGCTTGCTTCTCGCCACTGGTACTGTAGTGTTGCAGGGGAGTTCGATCTGGGATTGTGCTCAGGAACACGTCTAGTTGTCTCTTGAGGGTCTCCAGAGTGTACTCCCCCTCTCTTAGATCCCTTGGTAGGGCGTTGAACAGCCTTGGCCCTGCCACGGAAAGCGCTCCTTCCCGCAGGGATTGAAATCTGACTGCGGATCTGTTACGCAGGGGAGGGATCTTGCACAGTCTCCCCCTTCTCTCGTTGTGATATGTCTGAATCCTGAAGGGTACTTAACTTTAAATATTATTTTACAGAAGCCTCCTAGTTTTAGTAATCCCTTGCGTTGATGGAAGGGGAATTTCAATCGAAACTTCAGACTATGAGTTTTGGGACATGAATATAAAAGTGGCCTAATGTAAAAAAATGTAAACTTCTCATAACAAATGTGGATGAACTTGTGAATGCGATATGTGAATGTACGAATAATCTACTTGGTAGCAATGTGAATAAAAGAAGTAGAGCAAAGAGAGTCTTAATTACTTTTTCTATTCGCCTCAACAATTAAACTTGGGGAGCTACATGGAAGGTTAACGATCAATGCACGATTTAATTACTACTTACGAAGAAGGTTAAAAGTTCTGAGTGAAAATTTTGGATGCAACATCGGCATGAATCTACAATAATAAGACATAAACTTACTGCACGGTATCAGTACTATGTATCAAGTGAAATCATTGCGCTTCACGAAAGCAAGGATAATTTATTAGCGTTAACTCAAATAAAATGACGCGCCTGGATCATAAACAAGTACGAGAAATCATCCAAGATTCGTGATAGCAGTAATATGTGCTGCATCACTTTGAGGCTGAGAGGCCAGGTAATCTACATTAACTATCAGGATAAGCTGTATCCCGAACCGAACGAAAATTAGGAAATTGTTAGCATTCAAACATCAATCTTTCAGCTTGTGCAATTTCGTCACATCTAACCTAAATAAAATTCTACTATTATTACGAAATTTTTATTCTTTTCCGATTTTCAATCCATTTAAGAACTTGCATCAAGGCGCTTAGCCGAGGTGGTCGTCTATGGAGATTCTTAACAATGAATTCGACTGATAACTCCCCTCATATATAAGATACAAGTCTGAAATTTTGAATGCTATCCTGGCTAATTATTTTAAATTTGTGGATATTAAGATAAATTATGTAAACTTTGTATTACCACTGTTATCGCTAACGAAAATTTTAAACCATGAGGATCGTAAAACGCGCGACTTTTCTAACATTTTCGCGAATTAGTTGGTTTAACTCTTTATTCTTCATTGATCGCTATACCAAGCATTTCTTAATCATTCTTCAAGTGGTAGTTATATTAGTTTTTAACAACCGGTCAGTGAATTTTCCGTAGATTTAATCAAGACCTGACCATTTGTCTCACTGCTTGAAGCGCAGCCTGCCCAGTAATTTATGAGGGAACCGCAAGCTCATAAATTTCTCGCTCGGAGTGCCCCTTCTCTCCTCCCCGGACCGTCGGCCAGAGCATGTTAGCTCCGGCCGCCCGCTGGTAATGCACCGGCCACCTAAAGCCGCCCCTTGCCTCAAAAGCAATATCCTTGAGGCCGGGGGTTTGTTAGCCACAAATATGTGGCTGAATATGTGTGTGGTCTGCGCCGACAGGCTTATCCAGGCCTATTCTTCAATGCCGAAGATCCAATACTATACTGAAGTAATAGCGAGACCAAGCTCCGGTGACAGCCGAACTTACTGAATATACAGAATACTGAAAACGAGTAGTTATTAGGGTAACATGGGGCAGCGAGCCCACTGCGGGTCACGGGCCCATAGCGGGTTTCTCGCTAAGTATGGCAGATATTGGTCCGTGTTCTCTACCGCCGGTCGACAGTTTCACTGGGATGAAGTGTACGGATTTACGTTTTGCTAAATGTTTGCGTTATTAAGTTCTTTGCGAATAACTGTTTAAAACAAAGAACCACCTCGTATCAATTAAAACTTCATCAAAAATTTAGTTTAAAAAAAGTGGGGGGCGCGCTGCCCCACGTTACCCTACTTGGGTAACTTAAAAAGAATAACGCTCACTAACTTAGAAAATTGTTACCGACTAAGTGAGTCTATGTGTTATATTACATGCCAGGTTTACTCAGTATAACTTAATACTATTCGATGTACCTTTGCCTTCACACGAAATACGTTCGACCGACCTGGAATATGATCTTTATCTTCAAGTTATCCGTAAAACAGTGTATCTCTGACGTTAGATGTACGTACTGGTCATAAGTTTAAAGATGATAAAAATCTCTCATAGGCTACCACCATAACAAGCATAGCATGAAATATCTCCATCTGACAGTGAAGATGAGAAGACTTTTTTTTAAATAGATGAATTCTTTAACATCATGTAATTCAAGCTTATGGACAGTGTTATGGTATACAATTACTTGGAACAACAATTGAAAGTTGAAGGGAGTTGCTGTACATTAAAGCAGACCACTGACTAAAATAATAATTACTGAGATATAACTATTACAGTTTTGGTAAATTTTGCAAAACCATGGTCATTTAGTCGTGGTTCGCATGAGTGCATTCAAATTGCACTCGGTCAATATCGATCTGTTCTTAGACGTGCTTATTCCAAGTGAAAAATTATTAAATTTCTAACTATTGCGGTTTAAGTAGAACTTTGTTCTTCCAATTTTGTCGAAACCAATTTCAATCAACCGAGTTACGAGCGTATAACTACGGCATGCGCTAGCGTTGGAATTGCCAACAAATTAGGATTGGTTGTTGTTGGTTGCGACCGTCACGCTCGCCGGAGGGGAGGCTCTGGTGGCGGGCGGGGGGCCGGAGGAGGGAGGTGGGCGAAGGCAGGGAGGGTGGCCAGGAAAGCCGCTGCCTCCACGGGGTTGTCCCACAGTGAGGAGACGCTGAGAGACGTGGGGAAGGCGGGGCAGACGAAGAGGTGCTGAACAGATTGGAGGGGATCCCCGCACTCCGGGCAGGCGGAGCTAGGGGATGTCTGCGGAGTATAGGTGGATGGAGCGAAGGCCGGAGCACCGCTTGTGGCACCAGGCGTTACACGTGGAGCATCAGAACGAGTAACATCGCTTTGTAACCAGGAGGGAGCAGACTGAGCCGGGGTCGTCGGCGGGGTCAGGGTTGGGATGGCGACCCGGGCCAGGGTTGGGATGGATACCCTGGGTCAGGAGGAGAAGGACGAAAAGGAAGAAAATGTGAGAGGAGAGAAGGGCATAATGTGCCTCAGGGAAGATAGGCGGCGAAAGAAGTGGGTAGGGGGAAGGGGAGGCCGAGGTTCCCCGACCCTTGCTCGAAAAAAATGAAGAAAGGAGCCTCCGTCCGGTAGCGATCCGGGCGGGGGGGCCTCTGCCGTTTGGCCTGGTCCGCGAGCAAGCCGGGCATCCGGCCGACGCGCAGGCCAGGGTACCCCCACGACGAAGACGCGGCAGAGATCGGGGGTTGCACCTACATTAATATTGGTAGGTGCAACTGTGCGAGAAGGTTGCTTAGTCGAAAGATAACCGTTAGAATAAAATAGAATAAAATCCATGCGACAACATTTCTTCTCGCTTCGAGTCACCGACATGTGGAACAGCCTCCCTGATAGTATCGTTGACGCTCCGAGTATGAACGCTTACAAGAACAGACTAGATGAAGCTATGCAGAAGCATATGTTCAGTCTTAAAATGCCTAGCAAATTACGGACCAGGCAATAAGTCCAGCAGCTATCTCAATCAATCGTCAGTTATGAAAAGATCGGGTTCCAAAGGCCGGATCCCTTGTGAATCAAGTCACGAAAAATTCAAGAATCGGCAACAGGCCATGGGCCTATTTCTTCAGTGCCGACATTTCTATTCTATTCTATTCTAGAAGTGTCGGCACTGAAGAAATTGACCGTTAGTAGAAAACTGCTCGAAGAAAGGTCTGAAATTGATGGACATTTCTGATTATCCTAAGTTAGCTTTGAATATTCATCTTGATTCTAGAAACTTGAAAATATAACAATAGTAAGAGTGGATTTTTTAACAAGAAAGCTAATATTTTTCATTTACAACGATTAATATGTAAAAGTATGGTGTTGTATACAAAATTATTACAAAATTGGTTCTTGTTAATGCGAAAACGTGAATAAATAGTGTCTAGAGTCATTTTTCAGATTCTTACACACAATTTGCGTTGACACATACATATCCTCCCAGTTGGCCATACGAAAATTTTTTATCTCGACAGAAATCGTGGATTTAACCGCCAGATGGCAACACTGACATATAGGCGTTTTTCTTCTAGAAGTGACAATTGTAACTTTGTGTCCACTGCAGGCTGCAAGTGTTATGCTCTACTTTTCTTGCAGCTGCGTTACACTTGCACATTGTCTTAAGAAGCATATCGCATGGATCCAAGTATCGGTTGGATCCTGCCTGAACAGCACGGACCTGCAGGTGTGTAATGTGTTAACTACGATATATACGTTTCCGCTTCATAATTTGTAATATAGTAAATGAAGCTGTTCACGTGTTGTTTCAAACTTAGTGACTTTAGCCTGGTTTTATGATTTCAACGTCGACTCGCTACTAGTCGCTACCGTGCTGTTGCCAGGTAATTTTAGAATTTAGATATTATGGTTCATGTAGTTAAGATCGATCCAGTCTGGTGGATAGTGAGTATTTACTCAATCATATCCGAAATATCAGAAAAGTGGGATAGTAAAGCCTAGAATAATTTAGGTATGTGCTGACTGGTGAAGTGGACAGATCAGCCGATGTTTATCATGTTGCCATAAGCCACTTCCTGACGTGATGCAATTCTATAGTTAATAAAAAAGAACATGGTATTTTGAGTCTGAGATTTCGAACTGCTCCTCAATATTTATGTACAGGTCCACTGCAAACTAGCTTAATCCTCAAGGCTTAAGCCATATGAGATATGACATCAGACATCAAAATTGTTTCTTGAACATGAATGGCTTATGGCACTCCCAGTGGCCACTCACTGGCCAGTACTTTGTTTAACTGCCGTCTGCCTGCTTTGGCAGCTTTGCTTATTTTGGCCTTCAACTGTACTGTTGCCAAATTGTCACTTTATGTCATCACTTCTGACTTCATACAGATTTCAGTTTTCACTAGGTATCACAATAACACAATTCAGCTAGGCTATGAACTATGGTCTATGAATCTATGATGAACATCTGATTTATAATTTTTACATTTACACGCATTCAGCTTGCATCCTGTATCAACTTAAGTCAATAGATATGCACATATCACATATTTATATTTTCAGCAATATTTATGAAATGTAGGCTATACTGCTTGAAATTCTAAGAGGTGAAAAATTTCCTCAGAAATCAGGTCAGCACAATGAGAGTGCTAGACTTGAGTAAGCCCACTAAACCAACTAACACTACTCTGCATTTTGCAATTTCTCAACATAAAAACTAGAAAACTGAAACAATGAAGCAAAGCCTAATGAACAAAGCCTGCAACACTTGGCTGTGGGTATTATTGCAGATTAACTACATCCAAAAAAAAGGGCGTTTTTTTTTTTTAATTATATGTTTTTTGGGGTGTAGATTACGAATCTGAAATCCATTTTTGGCGGTCGGCATCGGAAAACCGATTTTTTTCCGACCCAAAAATCCACACGTAGCGCACGACATCTTGAATGAAACTTACCCGTTGCACTGCAACGGGTAAAGAAGACAAAAATGTTACCCGTTGCACTGCAACGGGTAACATTTTCGTCTTCTTTGTCCATAAATCTGGAGATACATTGCCACATCGAGAGATCACAACCTAACGCCAACTCGCAGGTTGGGTTGGTTCGCCCAGGTTCCTTTTAGATCAAAATGCTATCTAAAAAAAGGAACTTGGCTGACTTAACCCAACCTAAGAGCTTTTTGTAAAATTTCGATGAACAATCCGACCCTTTATATAAAGGTGAGTGGGTAACGTAAGTTACGTAACCCCCATGTTAGTAAATAAAGGTGAGTGGGTAACGTAAGTTACGTAACCCCAATGTTAGTAAGTCGCGAAAAAAATCGGTTTTCCGATGCCGACCGCCAAAAATGGATTTCAGATTCGTAATCTACACCCCAAAAAACATATAATTAAAAAAAACACCCTTTTTTTTGGATGTAGTTAATCTGCAATAATACCTGGCTGTGTTGCAGTTTAATGCATATCTTACAGTCCTGACCACTTACACTGGGCCATATTGGGTAGTGAGTGTTTCATAGGTATTGTATAATTTGTTCACATGGTAATTTACTTGCATTTTCTGTAATTATTAGCAGGATTCCATATTCACTGAATGATTCTTTGAGTAACTACCTTGTTTTTCTTTAGCATTCAGTGCTGGCTTTAAGGTTAATTCATAAAGCAATTTGTGTACTTAATTATTCAATTAATTTCATTTATGTTGCACGGCTGGCCCAGTACTGTTGAGTTCACTTTAACTCTGCCTGTGCTCTCCCATTTAGAGCTTAACTCTCCTCCATTGCAGTGCTTAGTTCTCTCAATTTTAAATTTCCCTCTTTTATAGTTTGTTTTGTAGATATATGCACACATTATGCATGTGATATTGTTTCTAATAAAGTAATTACTTTGAAGCTTTTACACCTTAAATTCAGAAAAACATTAGCATTTCCACAATAATCTATTATTCCTATTATTGTGGCCAATTTCATTTGTTAAAAGAGGGTAACAAGTTTTTTGACACACAAGACGTGCCAAAAGCCACATACAGCAATCCCTTGATTAGCACAGTTTTAAATACCGCGGTTTTGATTAACGCGGAAAAAAAAATTGCAACCTACCCTTAATCTATACAGTGCCAGTTATGATTAGCGCGACTTTTTTTTCACAACGCATCATTTTCCCGCCTCTAGCCAGAGGTGTTACGTTCGTAACAAAAGTGTTACTTTTTGCTTATTACATCTTATGTTGTTACTTTTGCTATGACTTTTGGAAAAATTCGCCAAATGTTGTTACTTTATGAATTTCAGCCAATAATTCTTTAAATAAGGTCCCGTTCCGTAGGCACTTGTGCTGACTACAGAGTCAGTTTAACCGCGCCTTGTCTCGTTCATAACTTAAATGGTCGAGTTTGGCAATGTTTGCCGGTAAGTGCGCCATGCCGGTGCTCTAGTTACTCGTTAGCCTTCAACTGGTCAAGATTGCTGTCATATCTACTGCTCACTTTTATCAAGCTACATAATTTTCCTTGATAAATTACCGTCATAATTATGGACAAAAAGGGAACGCTTAAACGTAAAAATATCACTTTGGAGACTAAGCTCAAAATAATTAAGCATTTTTATAATGGTGAAACAAAAACGAAGATCGGTGAAGACCTAGGGTTTCCCCGAGTCAACAATACGCACAATTTTGAAAAAAATTGTCCGAGTATCAAGAGAAAGGCAAAATTGCTTCTACGTCGTACTGTGCAATTGAAATTGGATTCATTTTTCAGTAAAAAATATATGTTAATTCATTCGCATTTCTTTTATTTATTTCCCCTATTATTGAAAAAAAATATGATGAATTTTAGTGGAAAAAAAAATTATTATGTAACTTTGCTATTTATGAGGATTCATTATAATTATTCCCATATATTCTTAAATTTGATTAGCGCGGTTTTGCTTAACACGGTAAAACTCGGGGATTTATTAACCATGTTAATCAAGGGATTGCTGTAACGTATCATCTTGTTGTGGTATCCGACAGAGCTAAATTCCAACAGAGCTAAAAATTGTCCCATTTTTACCACTAATTGGTGATTTAATTTATTTAGTTGGATAATTTGTGATGTTTATTCCAACTAATTGCTTCTAGAATCTAGACTATAGCTACTTTCAACATTTTTTCTCACATACTAACATAAACTGCCTACAAGAATACCCACACAACAATGGCATAAGCATTGGATAGAATGAAATTCATAATAATTATTTCAATATTGATAAATTTACATTTGTCTATTATTGCCTTCACTAGTCAGGCACTTGGTAATTTACAATAACATACCTAGAGACTGGAGTGGGGATGATAAAACTACTGCATGGAGATGGTGTGAGGTGAGCACAAAAAGCTACATTCCCATTGCTTTAGATTTGTATCTACACACATTGACACTGAGAGGGACTGTTTGGATTCAGAAGAGGAGCCCTGTTCTTCCTTGTTGTATGATCTTTGTTGAAGAATGTTGAGGTACGATTGATGAAGGTAAAGATCGCCAGGGCATTGTGTATTAAATCTAGAAAGTCACCAATGCCATTGCATTGTTTTTTTTTAATATAGCTAAATAAATTTTTCATAAATAAAATAAAATATTGATAAATTTACATTTGTCTATTATTGCCTTCACTAGTCAGGCACTTGGTAATTTACAATAACATACCTAGAGACTGGAGTGGGGATGATAAAACTACTGCATGGAGATGGTGTGAGGTGAGCACAAAAAGCTACATTCCCATTGCTTTAGATTTGTATCTACACACATTGACACTGAGAGGGACTGTTTGGATTCAGAAGAGGAGCCCTGTTCTTCCTTGTTGTATGATCTTTGTTGAAGAATGTTGAGGTACGATTGATGAAGGTAAAGATCGCCAGGGCATTGTGTATTAAATCTAGAAAGTCACCAATGCCATTGCATTGTTTTTTTTTAATATAGCTAAATAAATTTTTCTATTTCAGGTGACCTGTGGTCCAGAGTGTGGATTAATCATCAGGGCATATGTACATCTGATGTACAAGACAGCAACATCACTTCAACTATTGGCATCAATTGCAGCACATCAAGTAGTCCCATTTCAGACCTGAGCAGCTCTGGAAGTGAAGATCAATATATTGCTAAGGACCCTTTTGAGCCGGATTGTTCAGTCTCTGAGGCTTCAGAAATGCCCTCTGTCAAGAATAACAGTAGTTCTTCCAGCATAAGCTCAAGTAAAATTACTTGTTCTGCTACAGATAATAATATATCCCAGCCTGCTCCTGAGTACATTCCTCTTGGCTCTAACTGGGACCATCCATCTAGGAATTATTCCAAGACCTCCCAGGACTATTCATTCAGAAATGATAATAAGAAAACTTCAGACCAAATCTCCAATAAAGATTCCAAGATAACTCCAGACCATTCCTCTAAGAAGGACTTCAAGAATAATTCAGACCGTATATGTGGGACCGATTCCAAGGCCAGTTCATCCTGTTCAGTTAAGCCTCAAGACAGTCATCAATTTTCAAACGGCGGTGACCAAAGTGTCACTAATGGAGTGACGTCAACCTCTAATGGTAACAATAGCAATAATGCAAGTCCATTCAGTCTAACATCGAGATTTAAGCGCAAGAGAGATAATAGGGCGTCTACCTTTGATCTGCAGCATAATGCTAGGCCACTAATTGGCAAGTTTGGAGGTTGTCCATGGATCAACCCCAATAAAAAATATGATCTTGGTGTTGTTGGGTAAGTTTTAACATGGCTTAGCTTCCCTAATCTCTTCCATATCCTAACTGACATGCACTGAATCATATGGAATTGTTGATTATATTAATCATATCATATTCACTTGTTTAGAAGTACCATACTTGTTTTATATATTTTTTTACTATTCATGGTTAGAAGTACATCCAAGAATAATTGAAGCTATATATATATGATTTTACTATATATGTAATATACAATCTAGCAAGTTTTATCTACTTTTAGGGTAAATATTTTGTTGACAAATTGTGAAAAATTAATTTAAAATTTGACTGGTCTATGGTTGCTATTAAAAACAAAAATTCCTAATTTCCTATTATTTCACCCAAGTACTATTCATAAGTTTTTTTTACATTAATCATGAAGTTGATTGTGTAATTGCAATATTAAAAACTCAGTGTTGTTATTTGAGTGAACTGGTGAAAGATTCTGTGCCTAAGGATATTTAGTTGATGCCAAAACTGAAATTAAATGTTTAGGTTGCACCAAGAAATCTGCGATCTGGCGACATGGCTGTCCCCCACAAAGGAGGAGCATCAGATGAGAGTGTGCGTCGTGCAGAGAATACAGGACGTCGTCACGGAGCTCTGGCCACATGCGAACATGCAGATCTTTGGCAGCTTCAGGACTGGACTCTACCTTCCCACCAGGTAAAATTGGTACCTATCTTAAATGATCAATTAATTAAAATTTAATTTATCATTATTATACAAAGAATGTATGTGTTCTTATCATTTTAAAACTAACTTTGGTGACATTTCCATCAATCATCTGTTTTATACTCGCTTGTTGTCCCGTTAATGGTGAATTTTTATGTAGTTTTGGTAGTAATAGTGTTTGTGAAATGAAGGTAACAGCAACATATTGTTACCGGTGTCTCAACGTGGGTGAGACGAACTCGTCGCCTACTTTGACTAACTTGTTGGTAACCAAGAATTAGTGAAACTAATATGATGACTAGAGGTTGAAAAGGAAAATGAAACGCAAATACTGGTTCTAATAACTATTGGGATCTCATACAGTGAAAGTGACAGGAAAATGACAGAATAAGGAAAATGTGTAAGACTGATAAACTGAAGCTGAACTAAAGATGATGCCAAGTAAAAATGCACACAGACCAATGAGTAAGATGCGCACCAATAACGGCTTCCAATACAAGCCAGGTAGGGGGTTTATAGGGTGCTTTAGAGCAAATCACTCAAGAGGTTAGGGACTAGGGAGATCTTTCCAGCAAATCACTTGAGAGGTTAGGGACTAGGGAGCGTGGGACAGCAATTTATACAGCACCACACTTTAGAATAGTTTTTGGCATAAATTTATGTAATCAATTACTGATCTAAACCTGACCTGAAAAGAATGAGAATTATTTTAGTTGAATTTATAAAATAGTTAAACACTTCAATATAAACACACAGTAACACACATAAGAGGGAAAAAGGGGACAACATATAAGAGGAACAAGAGGGTGTGCTGCAAAGTAGCCTAAACCACCACCGCCAACAATATAGTACAGTTAAAGTGTAAATAAAACCATCTTTAGCGTAATGTATTTGCATTATTTAATATGCAATCAAAGCACATTATTCTTCCTGGCCTGACCTGTAATTTAAGGTTTTATTAGTGATAGTGTTGACTATATTTAATCATGTGACAATAATAGCTATAGAATTGACATTAAGTGCTGTAATATTCCTTACGATTTACATTACTAATTCACGTTCCATTCCCTTGCCATCAATTATTATCTTTTAAATCTAAAGAATTATACATTTGCACCTAGTACAAGAAAAAATTTGCCTACTTCTTGGAAGATGAGAGCCCAGTTATGATCCTAACCTCCAAAATATCTTTGCAAACAATCATTTGCTCTGCATGGCTATGTTTTCTACTTCATTTGTTTTTTGCAGTGACATTGATTTGGTTGTGCTGGGCAAGTGGGACCACCTACCTCTGCGGACACTCGAGAAAGCGTTGTTGGATCGTAAAATTGCTCATCCCGAATACCTCAAAGTGCTCGACCGTGCGTCTGTGAGTATCTACTGCTAATGAGAGCTCATTTATGCTTCTATTGTTGTCCAAAGTGAGGTTAACACGTATGCCGTGAGCCCCAAAGCTAATACTTGACATATTATACCTGTAATGTACATAATTGAGTATTACATAATACATGTAATACCCGAAGCGTAGTAGGTAAGTTGTCAGTTATGATGCCCCTTCTGAAGATATCTTTTTGCAGTAAATTGACATGCCTCGTTAGGTAATTCTAAAAATTACGATTTTGATCTGATTTTCATTTTATATTTTTACACCCGACTGTCGGAAATTTCATTTGCTTTGTACTCTCTTCCCTTAAGCTATGTACTCGCATATTAAACCATTTACAAACTTCACTGGACGGTTTTAAACGAGACAAGAATAAGTCTGAATAAGGTTAGAATATACCTTAATGGGAACTTGTTGCTACTGGTAATAATTTTTTCTTTCACCACCACGCTTGACAATAGACGGAGTTTGTTCCAGTTGGCAGCCATTGTTTGGCTTTATGTTCACGACTTTGAGAAGTTTACGACGCAAGAATATTTGAGAAGTGTCACACCCACAGGCTTGCGTTTTGTTGTCAGTAGATCTAGCGATTGTTTGCTGGAATACAGAATAACAATAAATGTATAAAAACCTTAGTCACTCCTGAACACAGTTCATTGTGATATAGCATATTTAAGATATTTACTTATTTTTATACTTTCAGGTCCCTATCGTGAAGCTGACGGACGTCACAACAGACGTGAAGGTCGACATTTCGTTCAACATGAGCAGCGGCGTAAACTCGGCGCGTCTCATCAAGCAGTACAAGAAGCTGCACCCCGAGCTCTGCAAACTGGTCATGGTGCTCAAGCAATTCCTGCTGCAGCGCGACCTCAACGAAGTCTTCACGGGGGGCATTTCCTCTTACTGCCTTATTCTTATGGTTGTCAGTTTCCTTCAGGTAAATTGCATTGAATTCGGTCAAAAGTAACCTTCTTTTTTACAACGCTTCTTTTTACCTTCACTTCTTGTTGTTTGTTTATATCTACTACACTACAAATCTTATAATCGATATTTGACACACTTCTACCTCTCCAATCGATCTAAAATTTTGCACACTAGTGTAAAGTTGGAGACAATGCATAAATCAATTGAAAGAATTAATATTTTTGAAGATTTAGAAAATAATATTTTTAATATTAAAAAATTGAAAAAATAATTGTCTGCTACATATCTTATAATCGATATTTTACTCTGATCTGAACCTGTCCAATCGAACTGAAATTTTGCACACTTGCGTAAAGTCGAAGACAATGCATGAATCAATTGACAGAATAAATAATTTTGAAAAATTTAAATTTATTTTAAAATTTTAAAATAAAATTTAAAAATTATTTTCTATGTATATTTGATAATAAGATTAGAAATTCATGGTACATGTGTAACATCGGAGACACTGGATTCTTTGGAAGTGTTGTCTTTAAAAAGTAATTTTTAAATGCATATTATTAGTTGAACTTTTCGTTTTGTTCACGTTATGAAACTAAATTGGCCGTCATGTTCAATTGAAACTGTAGTTCGAAATATTTAACGTCAGAAATTGGGTGCAATTTCGATATTGGTTGAAAAAATTACAGATACTTCGAGATTCATGATGAAAGCTTACTCTAAATAACTTATGCTCGCTGTTAAAGCTGCAATATATTCGATTATAACTAGCAGCGCTAAACGTAATTGATATAGTGAATGTTGTGTTTAATGTGTTCATTTTTAATTTAATAACAATGTTTAGAAATACAGTTTGAGTAATTATAAGCAATCGCAACAAACTAGCCTCACATTTTTGTTGCTGTTTCCACTGGAGCTGTAAGAGTTAAGACCTCGAACGTTTACAGCTGCATCCTCGCCGAGAAACCTACGCCTGTTCGTCGACTGAGCTCAACCTCGGGGTTTTGCTGCTGGAATTTTTTGAGCTTTATGGTCGTCATTTTAATTACTTTAAGACTGGCATCAGAGTGAAGGGCGGCGGGGCATACATCTCCAAAGACCAGGTACGATGTTATCGAGATGCTATTAATTCACGTGATGATAGGTGGAAGTACCGATGATGGCTAAATGTGATGACAAACCTAATGACTGCGTTTCTGCATCCCAGTTCAATAGAAATGTTGTGATCTCGAATTACAGTGGCAACAATTTATCCTTCTGCATTTCGTAACCTGAAAGTTTTGCAAGCATGCACACGATAATAAATATTAATGTTCGGATATTCTAACGTGTTTCATTTAATCCTTGTGGACAGGTTCAACGTGAGCTTTCAGACGGTCAGCGCCCTAGTTTATTATGCATAGAAGATCCGTTAATCCGCGGCAACGACATCGGACGCTCGTCCTACGGCATCATGCAGGTCAAGCAGGCCTTCGAGTATGCCTACATCGTCCTAGCTCAAGTAAGTTTATATTACACATATCAACCGGCGTCACTTAACTCAGAGATAATTTTTATACTTTTGGCTTAGAGGAATCAGGAAAGTAGGTCGTAAAATATTATTATCCGCTCGGCAGTGAAGGGTAAAAACATGTCTTAATTAGTTGTTTGTGTTATTTAAAATAACTTAATAATAAACGTTGAAATTGTATTCCGAAACTTTGGGAAATAGTTGACACGAAATTAAATGGCTAGTAATTTCAGTTTAGTGTGCTGCTAATAAAATATCGCAAATCGAAACTAGAATCATACTCGTGATGTTTGACAGATTTTCCCCAATTTTTATGAATGGTGGTAGAAAGAGGGTACCATTAACTTATGGCTGTTAGCTCTAGCTCTAATTTTAGAGACTCAACAACTTGATCTTTCTTGCAGGCCGTGAACCCGCTCAATACTCTCATGAACGACCCGAACCGCAACTCCATCCTGGGACGGGTCGTGAGGATAACGGACCAAGTGATCCAGTACCGCCAGTGGATCAGGGAGATTTATTATCAGCCTGAAGATGCCAAGGGCTCTGAAGAAAGTAAGGAGTCTCACCCTCTTGATGACCTCAAACCTAGAGACCAATCAACACACCCCCTCGACTGTACACTGAAGGTCAATAATCGACCTCCAATTAATTCCTCCAGCAAGAAACGTTCACATCGAACAAGATCGCGGGAATCGTCTCTGAAGCGTAGCGACGAATCCAGCAAAACTGGGAGTGAAAATTTTGTGGATTTAGTATCTAGTTCTTCCCCCATTAAAGTTGTTGCCAGCACCGAGGAAGTAATAGAAATAGTAGATGATGGTGACAGTGATGTTGTAGTTGTATCCGAAAAGGAATCGAGTGATAAAGACTCAACTGCGACGTCAGCGGAAATTTCAGTTTCGGTAAATTGTGAGGATTCAAGTTGCTCCATTGTTGCCGATGGGGACAAATCCAGAGCCGCTCAAGGGAGGACTGTTCAGTCAAGCGTTAGACGATACAAAGTCCAACCTCAATCGCAGCATAATTCTTTATCAAGTCATGACCGCGTCAACAGAAGAAAACAGAGCAAAAAGAAGAATTAATACGGTAAATAAATAGGTGCATAATAATACATACGACGCCGTGTGTCGTCCATATGTAGAATAGAACCTCCATTGGTGCTGGACCCATGATGTTAGCGAGACGCGAATGTTTTACTCTTAAATGTAAAAACTACAAACTTTGAACCTATGTCAGTATGAGTTTGAAATAAAGAGGACTCTATCCACGACGAATTCTAATTCAACCGTTTTTCTTGCCTATTGTCATACAGTAACTGGATTTATCACATAATGACCAATTTCTTACGAGAATTTTGTTGATTCTTTGAAATCTACTTCACGCACTAATTGCACCGCACCCCTATTCCTAGCCGATAAAACTTCACCGAAGTTCATACGATTCAAAGGGAAAATGAATAGTCAAAGACCAAATACAACAGTACGGTTTAATCGCTCTCGTCTCCGTCGTCGTCATCGTTAAGTATCTTGTAGTACTTGAGGACGTAGGTGCTACTGTTGTGGCCAGTCGAGAGGACTCGAACCCAGTCCCGCATGTGGTGTTTACACAGATATTTTTGTGTCAGGTATTTAACGTACCTGAAAACAATGTCCTCGGTTATTTATCTAGATTTTAACTACATTCACTCAATTTTGCTTTCAAGTTGAATTGGTTGAAACTTAAGTTAATAAAATACATATGTAATTGATTTGTTAGGCATATAGGTATATGTATGCATCATTAATCTACACTTAACGTAATTGACACAATGAAACCAAGACATTCTGCTTAAGAACCGAGAGCATTATCAAGTAATTATAGAATATAACCATATACCAGATGGCTGAGAATAAGGTCATGAATGAAATTTTTTGAACTAATGCCAAAATCTTTTTATCAAAGTGAACATCAAGGGAGCAACAAGACATCAACTTTTTCTTCATTTAATTATAGATTTTAATCTCACTTTTTTGTGATTGGTATGGTTGACTCAACAGAAATTGTGTGGGCTTCTTCATTTAATCCTAATGTGATGTTCTCCAGGTTGTGTCTCTTGCCATTGACTTTGAAGTTCTGATCCAAGTACCGTTTCTGTGAATGGTAAAATTGGTTATAACAGTGAGTTAACTACAAACATAATTGTGAATGTATCAATGCACCGATTTTTGATTAATAAATATATAAAAAAACGCTGGAGGCCTGAAAGCACATGGAAAAATGTAACCAACATTTCTGAAAACATTCACTACGAAACCAGCAAACAAATACATCCAGTTATAGGTTTAGCTGCAGAGCGTGCATTATGCATATATATCGAGTTGCTTGTCAATTTACTTGCCGAATTACATAGATTTTATTACAGTGATCAACTAGATCTCAAAATATGGTTACCTGGTCTGTATAAAAAAAAACTAGTATACACAAAATATCCTGCAAAATTTTTAGGAGGTTTACTGAAAATGTTAGATTATGAACAACTCTCCACTCACTCAAAAGATTTAACCCCATTCTCAAGAACTTGATCTTAATTAAAAACTACAATTAACTCATTTATTCTTGGATATCAGATACCGTACAAAGCATTTTAATGCTATTGAAGGGTTTTAACAACTCTGAAGCCAAATTGGAAACACATTAGTCATTTTGTAATTGAGTTGCCATTTCTTTTATATATGGAGCTAATTAATATTCTAGAAGCAATTCCACACTTTGTAGTACTCTGATAAGTTGAGAATATTTATCTGATTATATATAATCTCAAAGTAACATAAACCTGCATAACGCACTTGATTCTCATGTCCCACTATTGGTTTATTCCACTAATTTCTATTAAATTAAAAATAATCTTGGAGACTTAATTTGACACCAAATTTGCAACTGTTGTGCCAATGCACTGAACTTGCCACCACTTTTACAGCCCCTACTGTCGTTCAAAGCAGTTTGCTTGAAATTACTTATCAAATTCATCAAAGATGATAAGTTTTTAATGCAGCGCAGCAAATAGTTGCATTGCATAGATGTCTAAAGACTGGAGTTGAGGGAATATTTTCAAGTAATAAAGACTTTCTAAATTTATTATGGTTTACTTCAGGTAAGGCAATTATTAATTATATTATTAAAATTATAATTATCAAATTATTAATTTTTATCCAAAATGTATACCTACTAAGTGTGGCCAGGAATCAAAATTATCTGAGGCTAACGGAAGTATTTAGTTCCTTAGCAAGAAGTCATACCTGAAGATAAACTCCTAGCTCATGTTTCTGATTTTACCAGGTAAAAATGGCTTTACCATGTAGCATTTGCTACATGTTGACTGTTTTCAAAGATTTGCATGAGCTCGGATGCTCTGATGATATTTGAAGAAAAAGTTATTATTCCATAAATTCATCCTTGGAGCTAATGTCATGAGCTTAGGATCTTCATAAATAAAGATTTGGGTAAAAAGGAGTTAGTTTTGAAAAGTAATGCTAAAATGACCCAAAAATATGATTCAGATTTTGTCATCAAAGAGGATTGAGTTATCACTGAACCTGATTTGCTGTTAGCAAGTAATACAGTATATACAGGTCAGAAGTATATTTACATTTGGTTCAAAGTAACTAAAAAATTGCATTGATGCCTTCAAAATCTTACCATAAAGTTCAGAGATCATTTTGTATGTAACTGCAAGGTGAATCGTATCCATTGAGGCATTTGAATGCTGCTAACATACAAACCATGGAAAATCATGCATCATTATTGAACATTCAAATTATTACATTATTATTTAAAAAGATGAAAAAATTCCTTTAACAGATGATTGATGAAAATTGCCAACACAAGTAGCTGTTATTAACATGGATGGATACAGCCAGATTGGAAGAGTAAGTACTGGAGAACTCTCACAAGAGTTGCTTGTGCGTCACCCCCTGGCCCCTGGGACCCTTGAGTGTCTGTGCCATTCATTGCACATCAGCCATTGTATAAATCATAATGCATGTTAGTCTGTGCCAAACATTGTGCATCAGCTATATAGAACGAGAATTGCCATCTATGCAGAAGTATAATAGACATCTGCCAGCCTCAATTGTAAAAGGCATATTTGGGGCAATTACTCAGCATCCTATAAAACTCTGCTTTTTCACTATGCATCATAGTGGACTTGGTTTCAAACCAGAAATTTTGTAGAATCTTTTCATTTCCTCATCAACTCAATATTTTTATCTATTTCTTATGTATGATAATGCTGGTATCTAAGATGCTTACTGGTCTACTTATAGGACTTAAAAATGAACTTGCAGTTCTAAGGGCAAGAAAAAACGTTCTTTGCCACTATGCTGGCCACAAGATTTTGAATGTATAAAAAATTAGCCTCTTTGAAACTGCAAGATTTCATTCATAAGCAGTAAAATGCCAATCTTTCAATAGCTTCTACTTATAATTTTTGGAGAATATTTCCTAATATTCAATGTATTTATATTTGCAAAAGCCATAAGCCATGGCTTTCAGCTGCTTTCCAAGTTGAAGTGAAATTAGACATTTTTTTCTAACACCATATGCATATCTTAAAATCTACAAAAATGAATAATATTACTGTTGTGTAGATTATTAGAGAACTCACAAAGTCAACCGAGTTGAGAATGCCATCCTTTGCTGGAGCTGAGCAATCAATTATGTAGGAGTGCAAGGGACCTTTGGTGGGAACAACCACTTTTGTCTTTGGAGGAGGCATCTGAAACGATAAGAAGTTTGGTAGGTATCATTGATGAAGTTGACATGCGATAGTGAAAAGGAAATATTTCTTAGAATGGAACCAATACAAAAAATTTGTTTTCAAGGAAAAAAACTAGAAATTTTTTTTATATTACCTAAACATAGTATGAAGCATTTTCAACAATGAATCTGTAAATAGTTTAAAGATTCCAAAACAACTTAACAAAAATTCTTCAATAAAAACTAATTTAATCCTTGTCCTCTCTGCACCATGTGTGGGTGATGCTTTATTGTTGGTAAAATGTTAACCATAGAAACCCAGGGCCTGTTTTGCCTGTCCTCCTGGTTTTAATGATATTAAAATTTAGTAAGTAATCTATTCTAAATATACCTGATGACTTATGTGCATAAGATTTTGGGAGAAATGGGAAAGTTTGTATTGAATATTTGCTTTAAAAGGCAGGACTTGAGGATAAATTTTTGTTTACTTACAATGCAATAATTGTGTCTAAGACTCTAAGTTGGGCCTGAAATCATGTAAGAAGTATTAATCATCCATGTAAATTTTCACATTTAGAAATTAGACTTTCAAGACATTGTAAAATTACTTCAAAAGTTGTGCCCAATGTTCATTGAAAATTTTGAATAGGCAAGACACAAGTCATATTCTTACTAAATAGCTTACTAAGACAAACTTATCAGTTAAATCTCGTAGAATAATACTGAATGCATATTTCAGGAGCATTAATGTACTCAAAAATATGAAACCCATGCTGTTAGGTATTATATTATGTGTTATGTAATAATGGTAAATGCATTTGTTCAAGTACGTTTGTTACCATGTGTAATCATTTTGTACCAATCAAGATGACTTCAAGGAAAGGAGCAAAGCTAAGATTGTTAAGGCAGGAGGACATGGACTGAGTTCTTGCAGCCTGCAGAGATAAGAAAAATCCCACATCACATCAGCCATTGCCAGTAAATTCAATGTTACATGCAAGACACACTCAGATCATCTCTTGATGATAGTCAAGGATGACTGTGTACCAGCAAACAAACTCTACTGCTGGTAGAGCATGAGATGTTGCTCTGTAACTACATTGAATATACGGTCAATAGAGGTTTTCCCATGACTGTGGCCCAAACCTTGATTGTGCCTGGTGCAGATCTGGTAGACATATTTTTGGATAGGATTTTGCTTCAGATGGTGGCTGAAGTTGCATTCTAGACAACCAGAGGCAGTCAAACTTCAAAAATTTGAATGCTTAGACTGTGGCCAAGCAATTTGTTCAATTATTGGAAATTTAAATTAAAAATTGTTTCCAGTTACTGCAAGGTGTCTTCAAATGCAATAATTTCGGTGAACTGCCCCAACATCTACAACCCTGATGGTGCTATATATGGCTGACAAGCCACTGGCTTGTTGGCCAGTGGCTTTCTTGCAAGTTTATGGCTTAGTTTTGTGGATGTGGTTTCTTTCTTTCAATATTTGTAGTGTCTGGCAGTGGACTCTACACCAGCATTTCAGCAGTCTCTTATTTGCAGTGCAATGTGCTCTGTCTTTAGGCCATAATATTTACCTCTGAGTTATAGATGAAGTGGTAAATTGTATTTTTTTAGGCTAAAAAAAATCTTTATGCTGCATTCAGAGAATTGCTGAATAGTATGCCACACTATTCTACTTAGTAACCACAGTGTCAAACTTGATTTTTTTTAAATCAGTTCACTTTAAATTTCCTCATTTACTCAAAATTTAAGCTAATGTCTCATATACAATAATGCTGGTATGAGTGGTATCCATGAAACTTCATTGGTCTCCAATTTTTTCTAACTCTTGAGTCATTGATATTGGACTCAAAAATGAACTAGAGGAAGAGTCTAAAAAATAATAACTCAGTAGTACTCACCGCAGTGAGTGACAGAGAGCGCATTTTCTTGTCAATGAAAATGTGAAGTCACGGATGGACAGACAGACAGATTGATGGAAGGACATGGTGAGCACAATAGTGCCTTTTTTCTATAAATGAGAAAATGCACTAAAAAGTCCCTGCTTGACACTTTGTTTATAACAGGCTAATTCTTTTATGCAGAACTGCTCATTACTGAAGTGTAAATTTTCTGATTAAGTAGTATCAAGGTGAATCAGGGTTGAAATGAATAGCCCTTCCAAAATTTACATAGTGAAAAGGACAGCTTCTGCTTCTACTAACCACAAATTTTAATCTTAGCTAAGGTCTCCTTAATTATGGTAGCTAGGAGAAAGATTTATTCCTTAGGGCTACATTTACTTTTGAATAAGACTGATATATAAAAACATTTAAATTAATTTGATAAACAATGATGCAAGTTGAAAGGTTGGTTCCAAACTTGGATAAACTTGGTATATTCGGACATCGTGGGTAATTCCAACACTTTGACTTTTTTCCTTTATATTAAGCTTTTTCTTAGTTCCATGTATTCGTGGATGCTGGAAATAGTGACGTCATACTTTTGCACGCCATACTATTGCCAAAACACTAGGTCTGGGCCATCTGGCAGGAAAATGTTGAGATCCAAAGAGAGACAGTGTGCATCACCCAGTCAGAACATCGAAATATGTGTCAAAGTTGATAGTTGACCTTGCTCTACCAAATAGTGATAAACTGTTTGTGTAGAAAGAATATTATGGTTTGAGACTTTTAAATATGTCTGTAAATATATAAGGAATCCTTTAAAGAGACTTGTATTTGCTGATTTCAAGTGGTAAAAAAATTAATAGATGAAGTTAAGAGATGGTTTTAGACACATAAAAACTAATTCCAACACAGCTTGGAATTAGACACACACAGCTTGCAAGAAGCTGTATGCAAAATTTAAAATCTTCTTCATTAAAAGCTTAATAGCTCCTAATTAAGTAGTGTTCAATATTCAATAGTGTTCTAATTCCAAGCTGTGTCATATTCCAATACAGCTCACACAGCAATCAGAATTCGAACACAAGAGTGTTGGCATTACGAATTTTAGAGTTCGAAGCGCGCCCGGAGTAAGTCTCACAAAATGCCTAATTTAGTCACACACAATGTCAGAATATATGGATTTGGTAGGTTTGCATTCTAAAGGCGTTTAAATAAATATGGCAACATTTTGTGACATTTCATTGTTGCTGGCGCGTAGTGCGGTGTCTTGAGAGTGATGTAAAGCAAACAGAACTTGAGTTGCGCATACGGTGTATTTTTTATAGCCACTCATTTTTTGCTACGTCCTTAAAGTGTCGGAATATACTGCGATTACCCTTCCATGTGAATTTGAGGCTATCTCTACTGTACCCCTACTCATGTTAGTGCTATTCATGCAAAAACTGTAATGACCTCATCTGGCTATGGCAACTTTAAGTGTACTGGACCAGTCATCAATATCGCTGGCAAATTAAAAATAGTTAGTACTATATACCTTGCCACTTCAGACAAGTCTTGGTAATACTTTAAATTAAGTGCATCCAAAAAAAGGTGTTTTTTTAATTATATGTTTTTTGGGATGTAGATTAAGAATCTGAAATCCATTTTTGCCGATTGGCATTGGAAATTTTTAATGGAACCTGTTCCTAACAGGCTAACTAACTGGACCAAACCTGCAAGGTTCTTGTTAATTGGCTAGGTTTTTCCGGCCGCCAGACGGACTCCAAAGTCCAAACATAGAAAAAACCTATTGGCTAGGTTTTTCTGGTTGCCGGACGGAGTACGGACTCCAAACATAGAAAAAACCTAGCCGATTAACAACAACCTCACAGGTTAGGTCCAGTTAGGAACAGGTTCCATTAAAAATTTCCGATGCTGACCGCCAAAAACAGATTTCAGCTTCTTAATCTACACCCCAAAAAACATATAGGCCTAATTAAAAAAACACCCATTTTTTGGATGCACTTAATCTAAAGTAATACCCAAGTCTTAGAAACTGTAACTTCATAATATGATTGCACAATAAAAATATTGTAGTGAAATTTTTCATACAAGTTTAAAGTAAAGTAGGCACAAGCGCACAACCGCTGGCGCTGAACCGCACAACAAGTCAATCCTGCACAGTGCACAAGCATGATTGATAGCATCACATTTAATTTTCAGCTTCTTGATATTCATTCTACTCTAGCATGTTTTCCAAAAGTATCAACTTACATGGCATTGATGGCAGATAGACTTGGGCTGTTGGGCATTAAGCCATTAACAGTTAATTTTACGGACTGAGCAAAATAAGCCTCATAATAATTTAGGCTACCTATTCTTGTTAGGTATTACCGTATTAGTAGTTATCCGAGAAATAATCTGTAAAAAATAACATTTTGTAAATGGCAAGCAAAGCTCTGCTATATGGCTCAAGTAACACATGGTTAAGTGTAAAAAATATAATTCCTTACTGTATATGGAGCGCAGATTCAGATTCTTCAGCTGTTAGGTATTTACACTTCAATGTGGTTTGTGCGGATTGCGGAGAGACCAGAAACCACGTTTAGACCTGAAGACATCAGGCAGGACAATGAGAATTGCCATTCAGAGGTAAAAAAAAGTGTCAATGAAAGAGCAATCATTTTCATGAACGTAGATTTTTTCATTTTTCCGAGAATTCAATTATTTATGCAGAATTTGAATTTATATCATGCAAAAACTGAATTTTATGTACAAATTCTGCAACTTATGCAACGCGTTCACTACTGCATTGAGTGAAGTGAAGGTCTACCACGGGAATCAAAATTAATGCGTTTTTATCCTAAAAATATGCAAAAAGTTGCATATGGACTTGGAGTAGGGTTTAATGACCGTAACGGAATTTTCTTTAGAAATTAAGAATTAGCTAGAAATGCCTGTGAAAAGACTCGGAACGAAAATTTTTAGAGTTCAATAGAGCTGGGAGCCCAGTGGTTACAGTTATGACTTGAGAGTACTGAATCGACACTTTTGCGGACTCGCCTGCGAACTCGCCTGCGGACTCAGCTCAACCGAAGGACTCATAACTCCTACAATACTAAACGGATTTGCTTGAATTTTGGAATATAAGTAGTTATTATTGATACGCTGCGGCAGGAATTATTATAGTAAACTAATTTATATAAAAATCTATAATAATTCCTGCCGCAGCGTATCAATAATAACTACTTATATTCCAAAATTCAAGCAAATCCGTTTAGTATTGTAGGAGTTATGAGTCCTTCGGTTGAGCTGAGTCCGCAGGCGAGTTCGCAGGCGAGTCCGCAAAAGTGTCGATTCAGTCTTGAGAGTACCCAGCATTGGAGCAGTGACAGTGAGTTGTAAATTTGTTCCCGCTCTCCGACTACCAACGACACTTCTGTTCAAAATCAGTGAGGCGCACGTCTCGGACAAAATTCCGACCGTACTTGCGGCTGGTCTCGCTGCCGGACAGTGTACCTGGAATATCTCCCAAAGTACTGAACGTAGCTCGATGAAACTTGGTACACATATTCATTATGGCTTAACGGTGATGTCAAGCTCGTGACAATTTTTTAATAGCACCTTCATTGGTGAGTTATATGACGAAACGTGCCGAAATTGGCAGTGTACCGGACATTTCTTCTAATATACTGAACAGATTTGAACGAAATTTTGCATATAGAAACCTAACCTCCCAACGGTGATGTTTAGCTCGTAACAATTTTTTACGTTTTGCCATCGATGGCGGGTATTTTTCTCTTTCCCCTCATTCGTGATTTAAACAGCAAAATTGTGCTTAAATTCGCAGTTTACCAGAGATTTCTTCTAAAATACCGAACAGATTTGAACGAAACTTTGCATCTAGAAACCTAACTTCTCGACGGTGATGTTTAGCTCGTAACAATTTTTTTCGATTTTGCCTTCGTTCGCGAGTTATACGGAGAAACGGAGAAACGACCGACATTTCTCAGGCCGATTTTTGAACTCGCATTGACCAAGAGCAATTACGTATAGCCGTATTGCTCGCCAACGAAGGCAAAATCGAAAATATTGTCATGAGCTAAACATCACTGTTGGGAGGTTAGTTTTCTATATGCAAAGATTCGTTGTAATCTGTTCAGTATTTTAGAAGAAATCTCTAGTACACTGCAAATTTCGGCACGTTCCGTCATGGTTCCGAAAATCTGTTGAAACATTTTCAGATATCTCAGACAGATATTTTTCTCAGACAGATATATCTTTTTATATGTATATGTTGCCCTAAAATATTAAATTCGTCTTTACAGAAATTCAAGTTTAGAAATATCCTCGATGTAATCTGACAACACATCATTTCAAAACCACGGGAAATTTCCCCAAAAAGCAACACTTGAACAGCTGGCTAACGTAAACAAACTGAATTTTTATCCTGGCGGCGTAAGCTATCATGCCACTTGACAAAAAATATGTCGAGTGACATAAATTTGAAAAAAGGAGCTCTTCAGTCTGCCGCGTATGACACTGTTTTACAGGTAAATTTACCAATATTTAATTTTATTTAATATGATCATCTTCAGTGTTGTAACTTACATAGACTATAATAGACGAAATGTTTTAGTTAGTCTAATTAGAAAGAATTACTAGGTAGTAGGTAGCCTGGCGGCTGGCGCGTGCGGCCTCTCATTACTAATCATAATGGGAAATTTTAGCCAGAGATTTTTTAGAATAAGTTCATTATTAATTTCATCATTTAGTCAAGATTTAAACCAAAATCCTATAATGATAATGCTGGTATGCATGATACTTTGCTGGTCTACTTATAGGACTAAAAATTGAACTAGAGGAAGCATTTAATAAACTTTGCTACCTAGTCTGTTTTGCCACTATGCATGATTTCAATTAGCATATGCAATTAGGCATAGGGCAGGCCATAAGTTCACAAACAAGCCATACTTTATGAAATTTGACAATCAAAATGATCAACAGGTTTGATGATGGTAGTATATATTCTTTTTCATAAAATTTTCTCATCCAATTCTAATATAATCTTCCTGTTTCAGATATGCCTGCGTGTGGTGTCCTTTGTTTTAAATGCAATGGTGGTACGTTACATAGGACCTGCTGTTTTGGCAGTATGTTCTGTGCGGCTTCTGCTCCTCTACTCAACAACTTTGCTGCTTACCCGTGAAGCATTTAGACGTGCTGCTCTTGCTGCAAAAGAGCATCAAGTCAACTATAAGCTTGTAAATCTGATCTGGGCAAGGTGGGACTTTAGAATTTCTATCTAAAAAAAATTTCTGTGATCATCATCATTTGCATGTCAAATGATATATTTCTGATTCATATAATTGCTTCAAAGCAGAGCATTTTTACTTGCTCATGCCTAAATGCTGAATATCCGGCAAGGGAAATAATCCGGCAAGGGAAAATACTGAAAATGACTCTTACTGTCCTGAAAAATCATTAACATTTCTGTGATTCTGATGACATTTTTTCATAATTTTATGACTGAATGCAAGTAGGAAACTGGTAATTTCATTGTCAAAATGTGCTATGTGCTTATGAATTTTGGGAGAATTTTTTTTAAATCAGTAAGAAAAATTGCCAAATCAGCATGGAATTAGTTTTTAAGAACACATTTTTCTCTCAGCTACTATGGGCTTTGTGTCAGGGGCAAGTATAGTTGAGATTACACTCTCATGTCTTATGTCTATACTAACTATTAAAAAAATTTTTTAGGATTATTCACTAAAACAACTATCCACTAAGATTTGTGGTCATCCCTAGTTGCATAGATGTATTCAAAGGTGAATACATAAGGAAGCTCTTCAAAATTAACAAAATTATGCTGGTGTGCCCTCAAAGTTATTCATAGTTTGGACTACCTATTTGTCCACTGTGGTTTTTGGGTGTAAAACATAAAACTAAATATAGTTAATAATGATGGTTAAATTATTATGTGTGTGTTTTTTATCTTAGTGTTTATTTCTTCAAGGCTGACCTTGAAGACTTGGCCTTCAAGGCCTGTTTTTCAAGGCCTTGAAAAACAGGTGCATTTTAATTTATATATATATGTCTAATTCCTTATTAATGTTGTAGAGCCTTTAAATCTGGTTTTCATTTTCAGTTTAACTACGCTTCTTCCAGTGGGATGCATCCTCAGCTATGTTTGGAGAGACGTGATGGACCCACCACCTCAGGAGGTGTTAGCAGAGCCATCGCACTACCCTGCTTGCCTTGTCATCATCCTCCTCTCTTGTGCTGTGGAGCTTTTTGCTGAAGTGCCTTTCATTCTTGCTGAGCTGCAACTGTGGACCAAAACGAGAGTAAGATTTACTCTTTTTTTTCATATTCTTGATTCTGTGTATCTCTGAGACTTTTAATAATGTAATTGGAAATTATTTGTCTCTATATCAAATTGGCAAGGAAATCTTGAACTATGAATTAACATGAAATTTGAAATGCTTCATGCTGTTTGAATTCCAATAAGTTAAAAAAGTTATTGATAAAGTTGTGAATTTTCTTTAGTTTGTTTTCATTCTCATTATTGGCTTGTTCTTGCTTTAAAATATAGGCACCTATATATATATATATATATATATACCTATATCACTTTTTTTCCTTAGTTTATTTTTATTTTATTCTATTTCTCATTGTCACCTGCATATAGTAATGCAGTTTCGTATTTATATCTGAACTTTTGGTGTTCTTTTGTCATTTTATCTTATATTTGGAATTGTTTCCATACAAAATAATCACAACACCTCAATCTATTAAAGTTGTTTGCATGCTGCTAGGTGATGATTGAGGGAGCCATGCAGGTTGTGCGGTCAATATGCATTGCTGGTGTGGTGGTGGTTGTCCCTCACTATGCTGTGATTGGCTACTCCATCTCACACCTGATTGGCTCGTGTGTCTACTGCTTATCTTATTACTTGGTCTTCATGAAAGCCTTCAGAGACAAGACCCTTGTCAAGACTCTGCCATTTCAAACCATTCGTCAGCTGTTGCCGTCACGAGGCCCTGGTGAAATTTATGTCAGTAAGATAACGAATGTCTATTTTTTTAATTTTAATCTAACTGTTGGTATTGTGAAACATAATTTTCAATGTAAGAATGCTCATAGTTTTAATTGTAATATAGAGATGTTAATATTATTCATCGGACAATGAGTTGCTTTTTGGAAATCTAATTATGTATGTATTATATTATGAATTTATCAGGAGCTTTAACCTGTTATATCTTGTGGAAAATGTTAAGCTTACTAGCTTTAAATTTACAGATATTCATTGGGTAAAATATCAGATAAAAAACTAATGAGAACACAAGGATCTATTTTGACATCAAGCTCTTGAGACCTGATACAACTTGTCACTTAAGTGGAGATGCACAGGTGACTTCTATACTAATTCAAGAGTGAGTGATTCACTTCCCTGTTGAACTCTCAATGTTATCGCTTGTTTTCAGCCGCGAGTGGAGCAGGAGACCCTGAAGGTAACACGAGGCTTCCTGCTGCAGTGTTGGCTGAAGGAGCTACTGACGGAGGGCGAGTGGTTCCTGATGAACCTACTGCCTCTGGTATCACTGGCGCAGCAGGGTACTTACCAGGTATTACATCAAAAAAAATATTATGAATTGTGGAATGAATTTGTATGTGGTAGTATGTATTGTTGAAAACAACTTAAGTTACTGATTATGATTATTTCATAGTTGATTTTCTTCAATTTATTGAGTCTCTGTATCTACAAAAAAAATTTGTTGTTTGTTTCCCTTCCTTTACATTTACTGATACCATGCAATATTAATGCTGCTATAAATTTTATTTGCATCTGTTTAGCGATAGAGGCAATTGGTGCACAATGATTTCTTAGCATCAAGTAAGAAGCCATGAAATGTTAATGTTGGAACGAAGTTAGCCTAATAATGTTTAGAAATTATTTTAAATTTTCTTACAATGTATTCTTATAATATTCATGATTATCCAATGCTAAATTCAAAATATTCATCATGAATATTACTATTCATTACTATTTATATGAATATTACTATTTATGTGAATATTACTATTCATGATGTTGCGTTGTGCAGGTAGTAAGCAATTTAGGTGCTCTTGGAGCACGCCTCGTATTGCGGAGCATCGAGGCAGCTGCTTACAAGTTCTTTGCCCAGACACTGCATCGCGAGCAACCTCTAGAGCTGCAGGATAAGGTCTGTTTCATTCAGTAACTTGGTCTGCAAACTTAACATCCTTAAAATCGTCATTCCAATCATCATCGCTCTAATTTAGATTTTTATATGTTAAGTTGCCTTAACAATGCTGTACAAGATGATGTGAAGTGTAAATTAAGGAATTTCACGTTTGAAATTCAAGTATTGAGAGTAACCATGTAATACTTGGATGATTTGAAGATGGTATAGTGACCTTTTTTTTTTATCTGATTCGCAACCATTTCCTGGTAATTGTCTCAATAATAAAACAATTTTCAATTGTAACCTATAATTTTATTGTAAAGGTTAATTTTAAATTTTTTTCTGTCTAAGTTTGCAAATAGGTAATCTTGTCGACCTAAGGTTTCTTTAGATTCAACAATGAGCGTGGCATCAAAACATGCCAAGAAAAGAACGAACCAACAGGGAAGGATAAAATCAATGTTGGATGTGAAAATTGGATGGCAGTGTTTTTCATCTCTATTGCTCTCTGCTCAGACTGGTTCGTTCCTTGTCCGTTATCATAGGCCAGATGAATGTAAAAAGTTTGATAACAATATGAGCAGTGTTTAGAGAAACGTAAATACTGTCAATAATGATGCTTATGTTGCTCATAAATGTGTCAATGTTTCCGTTTCCCATGAGCAGAAGAAAGTACGAGAAGCTGCTCAGTTCCTGGAGTTGTTGTTACGTCACTTGTCGCTGATATCGCTTGTGGTTCTCTGCTTTGGGTACAGCTACTCCCACACTCTGCTTCAGGTACGTCATTCAAGTCATGTAATAAGCTGCAATTAAGAAACTTTTTGTGCTAAAGGAATGTATGTCAAATAAACGAAGGCAAAACAGAAAAGCTTCCTAACGAAACGTCCTCAGCCAGGCTTGTATTTGTGCACTGAAAACGTGTTTTGCCAAGTGTCCCTGTAAGGAACATCCCCACTCATTCACACCAGTACAATTAATGCCAAATTTTCATTTTTTTCAAGGTAATTTTAGTGCTCATGAGTTGGTGTAGTTGGATTGCGAAACTAAACTGAGCGAAATTAAGCTGGTGTATCGAAACTAAGCTGGTGTATCGAAACTAAGCTGAGTATATCCTAATTCCTATGAGTAGGGCACTTGATAGTGTGTGCATTCAAACAGTCGTGTAAAATATGTCTAGGCTACTGATATCACTTGTACCACTACTACTTCAATAGCAAATATCTGCCGAGAATTATTTCAACGCTTAGATGTGAGCTGTTAATGAATAATAATTTCGAGAACATGATTTAATAATTAAATATGCACACAGCTGTACGGTGGTAATACCCTGAGCTCCGAGGGCACGCCTCTGATGAGGGCACAGTGTCTCCTGTTGGTCTTCCTCGCCCTCAACGGCGTCACCGAAGCCTACACTTTTGCTGCCATGAACCACAAGCAACTGCACTGGTCTCTTATTGTGTTTTTCTTTTGTCTCAATGGAATATCTCTTTCGTCTCTTCATCCTATTATTGCATGCATTTTCTACGGCAATACTCGAGTATTTGTATTATTACACGGTATTTTAGTATATATTTAGTCAGGTAATTGCTATGAATAATTATTTATTATAATCTGCAGGCACAGCTCGCTGCTGGTGGTGTTCTCTGTGGCGTACCTCGCTGGAGCCGCGGCACTCACACACCTCCTGGGCGTCGTGGGCTTCGTCTGGGCGAACTGCTTCAACATGGCTCTCAGAATTGCTCATGGGTCAGAGACTGTTTGGCTCAACGATCTTGTTTTAATTATTTTTCTACGAATGCATTTATAGTTTTCATAGTTGCGCGCCTTTTATACAATGTAAATGAATATTACCATCAGCAGAGAATGGGTTACAAATGATGAGTTGAACTGTTGTTTTTAAATGCTTCACGAAATGCGGCTTCGCCAGTGATTAGGCTCTGTTGAATTTTATCGTGGGTTTTTTTTTTTTGTTCAAATTTTCAGCAACGATAAAATGAAATTCCTGGTAATTAATGTTCGTTATGACCGGACCTAAATTTTATAAAAACATAAATTCAGCCTCAATGCATGAATTTTTCGAACATTTAATGCATCAAAACATTTAGAATGAAGCCATTCGAATTTTTATCCTCTATCTTCACGGTATTTATGAAATGCAGTTTAAAAAATGAAGTTTTAGAGATCAGTTCTACTTCAAGGATTAAGAATACAAATGAAAAATAACAAGTCGAGTTTTCCTTCGCTGTTTCAGGTGGTGGTTCATCGAGCGTCAATATAGACCCACGGAGCTAAGACCTTTGCGTGGTCTGAGGCTCTCGGCTTCATCGGTCACAGCGTGCGCCGCAGCCTTCATAATCACGGCCATATCTGAGGTATTAACTTGCATGTCCTGTGCATTCTGAGCTCACAACTAGTCAGTTACTGCAATTACCCATGTAAATATTCGTCTGTTACTGACATTTCTGTTGTAAGAACTCTTCTATTCGACTGGTATATCGGGCTGATGGCTATAATCGCGGTTTTCTACTTGATAATTGCCAGTAAATGTTGAGAATATAATCGTGAAGAATTTATGAATGGTATAGGAATATGAATTGGAATAATGACTCACAATATCAATCAACAACTATGACGTATGACCTTATCTTGTTGCGATGCCATAGGTTATATCAGCCATGAATTTGAAAACTTATATTTAAACATGCATGCTTGTCAGAGATTTAAATCATATTATGATGAAATTTCACCCTTACACTTGAAATGGCTTATGAAATAATTAATAATGAATATAATTGCATTTCGAATCGGCATTTGATTTGCATTTCAAGAGCAATACAGGTGGCTACCTGAAAGTCATCATCTCTCAGTGTTTAGTCAAGAACATCCGAGTGCAAATCCTCTATAGTTCCTGATACGTTAGTGTAGTCGCCTTCAGTCCTCTATATTTCCTGATACGTTAGTTGTATTCTCCTTCAGTCCTCTATAGTTCCTGATACGTTAGTTGTAGTCTCCTTCAGTCCTCTATATTTCCTGATACGTTAGTTGTATTCTCCTTCAGTCCTCTATATTTCCTAATACTTTACTTATAGTTGCCCTGAATTGAGCAGGCTTACGTGTCGAGCATAAGTGTCGTCCTGCACGTGGCGGTGGGCGGCGTGACGTTCGTACTGGTGCTGTACCTGCTGAGGGAGGAGCTAGAGGACGTCTACACCTCCGCCCTGTCTGCCTGCGACCGCCTGCTTCTACGTGTCGGCGCCCCAGGGTTTGGGGTGGACAGGGGAGAAGGAGCGAACTATCAGGGAGTTCATCTGTCCAATTGTTATCTCGCCAAGTTACATTGTGTTTTGTATGGGAAGATCCGAAGTGATCATAAGAAGAGGTGACGGCACCTTTTGTTCCAGTGAGGTAACGGACTTAATTTCTCCAGTGAAAGTGACGGCATTCTTGCCGAAAACGTTATTTATTATAGGAAATTCGTGGCATTCCATGTAAATTTTTTTGCTGTATAATTTTCATTAATTTTTAATAGAGTAATTAGTGTAAATTTTTTCTGTCTGTCATCATTATTGCTTTGTTGAATAGTTTATTATGGCATTTTTATATTTTCATTGGATCGTTGACATATAAAGAGAACAAATATATAATTTATCAAGTTTTGTATTTTATTACCTCATTAAATAATGTAAAATTAATTATGGAAGTTTACGTCTTCCTTCGATGTCATGTAGTCATTCAAATGATTGAGAACTTATTGCGTCACTATGACTTCTGACGGAGGCCGGTGGTTCAACAAATTTTGTTATTCTTGCGTTCCTCAAAAATGTAGTTAACTTTCGTCAATTCATGGAGCCATGCCATGAATTGACGGTTTGCATTATAGGATTCTTTTAACTGAAGTGTTCCATACTAAGTTAAAAATCCTCTATGACATGAATGGAGTTCTCTCTTGAAGACCAAGAAAAATATCGCTTTGGGTGTTTCTGGAAACAAAACTGTTACGTATTCTTTTACATTCTGAGAAATTAAATTATTTCTCAAGGTTTATACAGCAATTCAATTTCCTTGTCCGTCATCTTGGACAAGTCACCACCTCTCAATGCTGGCTTCACTTCACTCTGGGTTCCGGTGGCAGGCTCACTATCAGGTGTGTTGGTACTGAACCCATCAACAAAATGTGTGTTGAACTCTGGGCTTATATCGCTTCTTATTTGATTCCCCGGTATCTCGAATGGTTTTCTTGAAGACTTATGCTCCTCATTTCCTGTTTGAGACATTTTTTCTGAAAGAAAACTGGGTTTTCCTTCCACTCCTAAATTATTTTGTTTATATTGAGTATAAGTGTTAGTCTTTCCTCCAATTTCCAATGCATTTTTTAAAGATGATATCACATTCCTTTCTACTTCCGAAGAATTTTCTGCACAACTTCCAAGCTCTTTCATTTCACAATAATTCTTTGCACACGTCTTGGTTCTGTCTATGACAGCAAGGATCATTTTTTTCTCGGTTGCGATCTTCCTGACCCTAGACTCGTAGAACCGCTGCCTCGCCTTCCATGCGCTGAGGCGGGCGAGCTGGTACACCAGCGCCGTGGAGGCCGCCAGCAGCGCCAGCGCCATCGGCAAGAACTCCGGCAGGTAGAAGAGGATGTCCCTGTATACAACAAGGGAATTATTATAAAATATAACTCAGTACTCACTGCAGTGAGTGACAGAGAGCGCATTTTCTCGTCGACGAAAAAGTGAAGTCACGGACGGACGGACAGACAGACAGATGGACATGGAGAGCACAATAGTGCATTTTTCAATAAATTAGAAAATGTGCTAAAAAAGTTCCTCAGTAATGTACTATCCAGTTTTGGGAGAAGTGATTAGACTAACGCACAATGTAGTAGTTACCCCGAGCTACATGAAAATAGTAAAATAGAGGTTGATAGACGTGGCTGTGTCTGATGGGTGGCACTTTATAAGAATATTCAATGAACTGAGTACTGATGGTCTTGTGTGTTATTCTTGCTCAAATCAAAATCAGCATAGTTTAATTTTCAGGTGTGTTAATTATTTTCTTTGTACTGATGATAGGAATTTCAAATGAAGCGATGATAATTATCAGAAAAAGCAATTGCATTAATAATAGTAACGAAACTAATATATACATCACAATACTAATAATAAGTACGAATTTAGTTACGACATTTAAATTATTACATAAAATTGGACAATTATGGACGTAAGAAAATAGTGACGTTCACCTGATCCACGCGGGAGCCAGGCAGATGGCGCTCACGAAAGCCTGGTATTGGTACTGCAGCCCTCTGAAGGGCGAGCACCCGAAGGAGGGCTTGAGGTATGTCAGCACCAACGCAGAGGGCACGACGGAGAGCACGAGGCTCACGAGAGCTGCTACCATGAACATGGAAGACGAGGTTGAGGATCTGAACGCGACACTCGGCCTGAGTCTACAGAATTTAATGGTGATGCCGTTTAAGATGATCATGATGAGGAAGGATACGACGGTCATGAGAGGCAGTAGAGGTGCGCATGAGATCCCCATCCAACAGAGAGTCTGTAGGTGAACAGCGCGCAGCACATGACCTGCCGTGTCAAACTCAGGTTGGCTTAGGAACTCCCAGATTATTTTAGGGAGCCAACTCACTAAAGGATTGTCGTCCTTCACAAAACTAAGGAAGTATCGTATAAAAACGAACGCTGTCACTGGGATGTAGATCATTGTATCGAATACGATGAGCGAGTAAAGTTGTTGTGCCAGACGTGTCTCCCAGCACATGTAGCTTGTGCCACAATCGATCACTGCTTCACCCTCTTGAATTCTGAGCGATATTTCGGACACCACGAGTATGACGATCGAGATAAGCCTGAGGAAAATGTTGCGCATGATGTAGAGAAGTAATGTATTCCTCTGGGTGTAATGTTCGTACCAAGATAAGACGAAGAATATGGGCGGTAGAATGAAGTTCAGCCCGCTCACTGTCAACGTCGTCGCGTACTGCTTGATGAAAGTATCTCTTTCTACTTTAGTAACCACGAAGTAGATGGCGACCCACCCACCAAGGATCAGCCCTATGGTAGTTACGTGTATTAAACATCTCACCAGGAACAAGACGCGTCTCTCTCTTACTGTTCTCTTGAATTTATTAGCTTTGTGTTCTTCCTCTGTGTTGGCGGCTCGGATTTCTTGAACCAACAGAATCTTCTCAACCGCGGCAGTCCTTCTCCTCCCCACGTTGAAATCCCATCCCTTGAACACCAAATTATTAAATCCGTTTGTGAACTCGAAAATTTTTGAGTTTGAGCACAACCATCGCCCGAATCCTCGGACGACGTATACAATAGAAATTGCGTAAGCCGCAGTGACGGTGAGCAGGTAAGCGACTGAAATGTCGTAGGAGTCTGGGCTTGACGTAAGGTTGGCAGCGTACCAGCCGATGAAGACAGATGTGCGTTCCATGAAGCCGAGGCCTTGAAGGAAGTCCATGAAATATTGCACCACGTTCTGTCTCTCGGACGTGTATTTATCTTGCGCTACGATGTACCCTCTAGAGCAAACTCGTACCTGCCAAGAAACAATGAGGAATAGGTATAATAACTTCTATTATTAGTTTCAACTTTAAATTATAGTTTTCCCAATAAGTTTCAACTGTAAATTGTCCGAGGTTGAATTTATTTAAAAGAATTTCTAAATTGCCGAAACATTTTTCAAATTAAATTTTTTTCGGTAATAGAACCAAATATTAAGATTTAGTAGCTGATTGAAATCAAATTTAAACGGAACATATAAAGCTATAACACCTTTCACGTCAATTTTATATTCATTTTACAAAGTTTGTGGAAAGGTTCTCACCTGTCCGTTGGATTCTGTTAGAGCAACACCGGAACACGCAAACAAGGAGTCGTTAGGCATGAACACGGCTGGCAAGCCAGACTGCTGGAGATCTTCTTCTGTTATCCATCCCCAAAGCTGATCATTAACTTCCTCTTGTACAAAGATAGTTTCATTGAAACAATCGTTGTGAAGAATCCCTTTCTGGGACTCATAATTCCAGTGGGAAGTGTTGCAAGATGTCACGTTGTTATCACCGAGGAATTGAGGATCGTCTTCTTGCCACATTGTGGTCGGTATAACAATGCCCAACAAGAGCAACAACCCTAGCAGGAGGTTCAGACGAAGCAGGTCGTTGCAGAGGTCGAACACGGCAGCTACGCTAGAGCCTGCCTCCGCCTCGATGCGCTTTTTGATCATTTGTATCACCTGGAAAGTGTGTCAGAAATGCATATCTTGACACTGTAGTCGTCTTTAAAATTTAATTCATTAATTAATTTTGATGATTAATTTGAGACTTTGAATAATTGAGACCTTTCGCCTTGCTAGCGACGTTATTTTTGACCTTCGTTACGAAATAGCTTGATAGCTGAAGTGTTAGTAAACCATTATACTACTTTTCTTGAAAATTTATGATCGTTTCATCGTCGGTTAATTACGCGGATGAATGTGACGTCAAAACGAAGAATTGGAGAGAACTAGAACATAACAAGTAATGGAGCAGTAATTTCCTCTTCAGCTACAGTGTTAATCCTACCGGCTATCACAAAATCTGTGAAGAGCAAAACTCTGAAATCCTGAAAATTGAACTCGGACATCTGACTTTAACATTATTTTGCAAAAAATATATACGCGGGTCTTCAGGATCCATTCAAAAATGTTATAATTTAATAATTGAATGACAAGTTTTTTTCTAAAGAATTGAAACTCACATCAACACTCCCCACGGCGTTGTTGATAAAGCTGCGTGAATGATTCGTTGCCTTGCTGATGGAAGACACGACCTGGTCTGTGGCCGACAACGGGTCGAGCTGTGCAGGAATTCAAAATAGAATTCTTGAATTATGTCACGAAAGTAAAATTTAATTGCTTTAAAATCGGGCAATAATCCTTAATTTGGCTTGTCTAAACTAGCCAAAAACGTGAGTCAAGTCTCTAGATGGGAAGATATTTCAAATTAAACTTATACTAAGTTAATCAAATTTTGAAAACTAATGAAAGTAACATTGCTGCTCGAATGAACGCCATTCATTTGCACGCTTTAGATTTTACAGTTCAAATTTACTCGATAAATGTGTAGGATAACTAGAATACTATGAATTAACTTATCTACCTACGTATATCATTATCAGCAGCATACATACGAACAGCCTATATACACAATTGACTTGCTTTAAAGTCACCGTATCCAATGCTCTTATTTAGCATGGCCTCTGCAACGCTCTCCAATTACGTTAGAAAGTGAATGTACGATAGAGCGAGTTACTTTTACTGACATTTTTTTCCATTTCCACTGCCGTTCGCTTCACTTTTGTTAACCGATATAGGCGCGTTATTCTTGGTTTTTCTTTTTACTACATCTCGACTTGGTTTGACACGCGACGTAAGATGTCAAGCTCCAGGGAGTGAATGTGCTGCCATTGCTCCCCCTACCCAGTGGAAATTTACAGACGCGGCAGCTTCTGATTTGGATTCCAGAAGCTGGGGCGACTCTAAATTTTGTTAGGGTAGCTACTCACGGCAGCCAACGGACGAAGGCGTCTGCGTAGGGCTCGCTTCTCGCACAAGCTTAAAGGCTCCTGACGAAGGTAGAGAAGGCGGGTCGCTGCCTCCTGGGCAGTAGGGGTTTCTGTGCAAATTTTGAGCTTATTTGTTAATTAGAATTCGAATAAGGGTGAAAAAATTACACTATAATATAATGAGTCATTTCTCTCCGTGTCATTTTAAATCTATTCTTTCAAATAAAACTTGGGAAAAGAATCACGTTTCAATTAAATGTTGGCTACAAAATGATCGTTTAGGGCTTGGTACGGACTTTATTAGGTACGGCACGAGCATATAAAAATTCGGCCAATAAGTACAAATCTTAGTCTTACTTGATTGAGAAGATGGATTTGTTGTTGAGACCGATTGATCTGTCTTTGGCGGAGCCAGAGATACATTTTCAGCTTTAATCGCGTTCGTCAACGGAACAGTTTCATGTTCATCCTCAATTTTACGAGGAGTTTGACGATATATTGTTGTTGGATACGCCTCTCGAATTTTTATTTCCATTGTTGTGAAATTATTTTGATTTTCTTTCCGGTCCACTTCTTCGATCATAAATGCGTGCGCATTCAATGGTGTCTGATTTATTAAATCTCTGTCTGCTTCATGGAATTCTTGGATGTCGTTGTTCAAAAATTCTCGATGACGATCAAGATTCCTAACATTTTGCTGTTGGTTGATGCTTAGAGTATCCTGATGTCTTATCGATTCAGCTGGGGGTGCTAAGTCATCATCGTAGTGATTATAGGATTCGTTTTGATATCCATACAATCTTCCATGGCCATGACTTGGTCTTATGCTAGGCTGGAACTCGTCTTTGAGTTGATCTCGAGAATGAGGTATATCATGCCCAATATTGCGTTGGTACTCACGACCTGGTGCTGATCTCAATTCAGCTGTCGCTGGGTCTAGAAAGTATGACTGCTCAGGGTGGGGGAAGTGTGAATACAAGCCACGTTCAGGATATTTCCTACCATATGCTTCTTCTTTGTCGGTTGTCAGGATGTTTCGGGGCTCTGAATTTACGCCGAGGACGCGAGTATGATTATCGTGGCGTATGAGGCCAGAAGGAGACGAGCGAGAGTTCACCGAATTGTGGCCATTTCGATCGTGTTGAGGAAACTGCCGTTGCCTGGAGCCTTGACCGGAGTTGTTATATTTTTCATATGAATCTGTAATGGAAGAAATCAAGATATTGAAAGCCGTTAATATTCGATGATTAATAATAAATACTGGAATACAATCAACTGAACTCAGCGACAGTAGAAAATAAAGTTCTTGATCTTACTACAACATGTAAGTTTTCGATTGTTTTAGGAGTTTGATGGTTACAATTAAGTTAAATTGGGCAATTAAAAGAACTATCACAGAGTAACAAACTTTAAAGCTTCTGCTTCTCGCCCAAATATAAATGTAATAATTTCATCGAAATTGGTCGCAAGTGAGGTAATGTTATGAGTTAAAATCATTAATTTATGCGTATGAATAAATGATTTGGACTCAGCTAGGAATAATATCAACTACGCTCTATTCGCCATCTCAAAATTTTTATATTTTGCCCACGCAATCAACCCTCATGTCAAATATAAGACATAACTTCAACTTACAGCGTGATCCGTCTTCGTCGTGCCTGTGAAAACTCATGGTTTCTGATACTAAAATACAGTGTACGCGAGAACTACTTGTACATTAGTGTACAGAAGCAAGAGGACGGTTATCCACTCTTGTTTACAACAGAACTTGTACACATACTCGTATATATTTATAAATAACCCATGAGTTCCGAATATTCACTTGAGATTGAGAATATTTTATAAATAAATAAATTCTCAGCTGATCGAGTGGCATACAGATAACGAAATGCATTTAATCAACATTGCTTTTGCCTATAAATCATGTGAACTGAAGCCAAAACGAGCATTTGAGAAGCGTGGTAAGTAAATCCATACACATCACAATATTTGCTGTAAAATGGGCCTGATTTTACTAACGACGTCAATTGAAGCTTTCATGAAACCTATTCGGAAAGATGGTCGTCACGACCATGTAAGTACACGTCACGTAAAGTAGTAGTAAACTAAGTAGGCATTGCACACAAAGGATAATTTTGTAAAATAGTTCAACAGTTTAAACAATAGTTTGCACTGGCAGATATTGCAACACGTTTGTCGAGGTAGACAGTCGAACTGTCACGTGTCCTGACTACTGCTCGCTCTAGATTAGAACCTCCTGATATCAGCTTGAAATGTGCAATTTGTTGCCTTATCTCTGGATAAGATCATAAGCCTAATAAAAAGCACGATAGGAAATTCATTTATTGCGCTGAATACCTCGACGATGACTAAATTTCTTGGAGTAATGCACGTGTTAATAGTACTGAACTAGTTTGTTTAAATGTCGTTAAATACTGAGACGCGTTAAATGAATCATCGAAGCTATTGCCTCACAAGCGTGAAGCTCTATGACGTCACTATACGTACGTAGGAATTATGCATTGCTTCTATACATGTATGAAGCTACATGGCTACGCTACATGTATGAAGCTACATGGCTACGCTACATGTTGAAGCTACATGGCTACGCTACATGGCTACGCTACATGTTGAAGCTACATGGCTACACTACATGGCTACGCTACATGTATGAAGCTACATGCTACGCTACTTGTATGAAGCTACATGGCTACGCTAGATGTATGAAGCTACATGGCTACGCTACATGTATGATGCTACATGGCTACGCTACATGTATGAAGCTACATGGCTACGCTACTTGTATGAAGCTACATCACTACGCTACATGTATGAAGCTACATGGCTACGCTACATGTTGAAGCTACATGGCTACGCTACATGTATGAAGCTCTTTGTAGCCATCACTCACGTAAGTGTGTGCTTAGCAATGCTCTTCAGTCTTCATCCCTCGCTCGAGGCGCGGTTTATTGAAGACATGAATGCTGCTGAATAGCGAGGGCTGTTGCTGCTGTCACTCGCATGACGAATGCTTTAACCTGAGGTCAAGCAGTGACGTTCAGAAATGCCTGCCATGTTGTTGGTGTCATGAATGTATGAAGGGAGAAACGACAACTTACATTATACTACGACGTCTCAAATGATGATTAAGTCGGCCGGATGTGTCGGTCGCTTATAGCATGCAGCATAGTCGGAGTCATTACGACGACAGGATGTGTTCGATTATCCTTAACCTTGTTACTAGTTAAAAACGTACGTCGACGTCGAATAAACATACTTGTTTCAAGATATGTGATGTATTTTTTACACACAACAAGCGAATATTTTGCTTGTAATTGTTTTGCCGTTGTAAACAAACTCTCTCCCTGATCCCGCAAACTCTCGCTCGACCGCGAAGCTTCTCTCAATATTTCTACACTCTCGGCTTCACGCCAATCGTTTTCTCGGGCGCCTCGAGAATCAAGATCTTATTAGTGAGGCTGGGGAAGCCGTACAGTGTGCACGTGTCATTGGCAGCTCATTTTGGAATTTCGTTTGCATTTCTTTCTGTGGTGGTTGAGGTCTTCGTTTTTTTGGGAAGATATTCAAAATGCGATTTGCAAAAATGTAATTTGGTTTCTTCGTGTTTTTTTTCTAGATCACAACGGATGCGTCGAACTGTGTCCGCTAATTAAAGAAAATGTTATTGTACAATAATTAGGAAGTTACTGCTGCTATACTTTACACGATAGAGCAGAGTGCATGCTAACGAAAAGTAATTAGCTCACTCTTAATTGACGGTTGAGAGTATACGGACTGCATTGTCGGCATTGAGACATTCCGCTGAATTTCGAAATTAAAATGAAACGGAATAGATTTCCTAGGCGGCTAGACCCACTTTGCTTAGAGAATTTTTCAGCTATGTGGGGCCATTAATATACATCGTTCTTGTCTACTGACTCTAAAAAATCGTTTTGTGGACACAAATCGGAACATGAAACATCAAAATATATTTCAGAAATGCATGAGAACAAACTCGTTCATTTCATGCGGGCACATGCCCACTCCCTTGGACTGCATTTATGAAAGAAATTTAGTCAGATCGATTTTAAACCATTCGTCATATGGATACATTAACCGTCGTTTGCGCTATTCGTACCAAGGGTCGGGTAACAAGAGTTGTCGTTAGTAAATAACTTCGAATTCCACTTTCCGGCGACCAAATCTACTTGACAATTTCAATGGCAAGAAAATATCTCTGAAGCGATGAAAACGAGTACAAAAGCCAAATATTCGATTTCATAAGAAGATATTGTAAACAATGTGACTGTTCGAACAGACTATTGCACAATATGTATGAGTCCGTGTCATTTGTATGGGAAATGTGTGGCCCATACGTGACATCCGAACAACTGAAAGTTCAATCGTGAACTTGGGAATACATAAACATTTTTTATTTTTAAACATTGAGTTTCTCTGCGTATTTCGCTTTGGAAAATTTGAGGCACTTTGGGAAATCCTGATTATCGGCTTGCTGAGGTCAGTTCTCCAGATGCGCCCCAAATTTCTTTTGGTTTTCCAGATTAATATTTCGCTTATTAATGTGGATTCAAAAATTATGAAAATAATAATATTTAAAGTCACATATTTATATTCATGAGTGAGTATATATAGAATATGAAAGGAACGGAAAATGAAAATATTCTGTAAAAACATATGACACAAAGTCTTGAACCCGTTGAAATTGCTTTAAGGACAAGAAAATCTTGAACCAGTTATCTATTTGCAATTATTTGGAAAATATGAATAGGAAGTCGATTCCATTCTTGGAAACAAATCAAATTTTTATTCAATCTTTTCAGGCCTACAAATTCAACAATTTAAACCAATTGCAGTTTCTTAATAAAATTTTATTTTGCTCAAAACCGCACGAATTACTATTAATCGTCTTACTCTAATTTCACAACTAAGACGAATAAAGTTTATGAATTAGATAAATTAAGCAAAGGCTATGCAGAAGCAATTCGAGTTCAACCATCCTTCCCTCGTACCAAGCATTCCTGTCAGTAGTTCCCGCTCTAGGATTACATACCAAACAACCATCACTTCAATGGTTCCGGCTTCATAAGTACACACCAAACATTCCCTTCAATGGTTCCCGGTTTATAAGCACACACCAAGCATTCCTTTTAATGGTTCCCGCTTTATAAGCACACACCAAACATTCCCTTCAATGGTTCCCGCTTTATAAGCACACACCAAACATTTCCTTCAATGGTTCCGGCTTTATAAGTACACACCAAACATTCCTTTTAATGGTTCCCGCTTTATAAGCACACACCAAACATTCCCTTCAATGGTTCCCGCTTTATAAGCACACACCAAACATTTCCTTCAATGGTTCCCGCTTTATAAGCACACACCAAACATTCCTTTTAATGGTTCCCGCTTTATAAGCACACACCAAACATTCCCTTCAATGGTTCCCGCTTTATAAGCACACACCAAACATTTCCTTCAATGGTTCCCGCTTTATAAGCACACACCAAACATTCCTTTTAATGGTTCCCGCTTCATAAGCACACACCAAACATTCCTTTTAATGATTCCGGCTGTATAAGCACACACCAAACATTTCCTTCAATGGTTCCCGCTTTATTAGTACACACCAAACATTCCTTTTAATGATTCCGGCTGTATAAGCACACACCAAACATTTCCTTCAATGGTTCCCGCTTCATAAGCACACACCAAACATTCCTTTTAATGATTCCGGCTGTATAAGCACACACCAAACATTCCTTTTAATGGTTCCCGCTTTATTAGTACACACGAAACATTCCTTTTAATGGTTCCCAACTTCCCGCTTTATAAAAAAATCAGCATTCTGTTTTGTCTTGATAATCACCTCGTTCGTTTAGAATTCTAAAATTTGAAAGTTACGAAAAGATAAAAAAAATACTTTCTATGTATAGCGTTATTTTTGCCGTTAGCATCCTCTTTAACATACTTATATGAAGTAAAACCCCAAAAAATGTAACAACTTTTTCAGTTAACCGTAACGATAAGGAAAAACTTGGAGAAGCTGTGCATGACATTTAGCATTAATAAAAACTTGCTGAGGCCGTACAATGTAAATTCTATAAGAAGCGCTATTGCTTTCAGGCTTGAGCAGTTAACACAACAATGCTACGCCTCTGAAGCTGCTGGATATGCTGTAGAAGACTGCATTGCAGCAGTTGTGTATGCGAGATTAAACTCATTGCTGGGACGTTGAAGCTTCATACGAGTCATTGCCAGCGTAATAGTGGTATTGGATACGCTGCATCACCCCTCGCTACAATGTTGCACGATACATGACTCCTCGCTACAGTTGGCTACTCTACATGACTCCTCGCTACAGTTGGCTACTCTACATGACACCTCGCTACAGTTGGCTACGCTACATGACTCCTCGCTATAGTTGGCTACGCTACATGACTCCTCGCTACAGTTGGCTACGCTACATGACACCTCGCTACAGTTGGCTACGCTACATGACTCCTCGCTATAGTTGGCTACGCTACATGACTTCTTGCTACAGTTGGCTACGCTACATGACCCCTCGCTACAGTTGGCTACGCTACATGACCCCTCGCTACAATGTTGCACGCTACAAATGACCATCCCTGGCATGGAGCCGCCGCACAATAACGGGGCACGGGCGGCGGTTGCCCGCTTCTCCCTCCATTTCTCCGGAGCGCAAAAACTCGATCGTCCGCACTCCGCAAAAACAGTGAAAGTGAATGCAATCGGCGGCGCAGTCGTTGACATTTCGCAACCTCGCCGGAGACTGCGAAAGTGGGCAGATTCCTCACGACTCACTTCTAAACTGTGAGCGTCACACCAGAGGTGTGTCCCCACGACACACTTCTGAACTGTGAGCGTCACACCAGAGGTGGTCTCTTATACACATCTAGATGTGTATAAGAGACAGGCATACAGCATAGTCGGAGTCATTACGACGACAGGATGTGTTCGATTATCCTTAACCTTGTTACTAGTTAAAAACGTACGTCGACGTCGAATAAACATACTTGTTTCAAGATATGTGATGTATTTTTTNGCCTTCTGGTGTGAGTCACTACAAAATTTCACTTTGAATAAATATAATTTACTCTTCTCCGAATTATGATAGGCAATATTTTTTTTCTACGCATTCAAAAGTTGTGACAAATTTATAGGATTGACAAATAATATATACTTTAGTCTTGCAAGCACCACATCATCTTTATACTGCAGATATGAGTTTACATTTATTTTCATTTCCGCGTATAAATATTCTACCATCAATACCACAGAACTTCGCCACATCATTAATGTCGCCGGCCACTTCACTATGTATTTTCTTAGCAAACTGAGCCAAAACTTTCTAACGCGATCGAAAAGCTTCATAGATGTAAGGTGGCAATCGAATCCTAAATATCATAGTTCTTTACCTGTATTATACGGTTTTATTTACGGTCAGCAAGTAACGTGCAGAAACGTGCAGGCTGGAACCTGGCGGCTTATGTGGCATTGGCGGTAATTCAGCTCGTACACTTGGTGAAATTGGTGTAGTTTTTTTGCTTTATGAAAGCGTTGAGAGTAAATGCATGCCCTGCGAATGGTTAGAACTACCTTTAATTTAAGAATTTCTTATTAATTTCAAATGAGGCCTTTGTGGCCTTTTTTGTGAGCTAAATTGGCCTTTTTCACTCGGCTCCATCTGGCAACCCTGTTCGTCGTGTCTGCTAACTGGTTAGACGCTCGCAGCAGCCTCGCACCTCGCGGTGCTAACTTGTTGCTCATACGGAAGTGAGAAAAGTATTCCACTTATTGAGTTTCATATTGCAAGTAACCATAAATACATGTGTTTTGAAATTGCCTTGTAAATATAAATACATGTGTTTTGAAATTGCCTTGTAAATATAAATACATGTGTTTTGAAATAGCCTACAATTGTTGAGTTCTGTAAAATTAGGTTGTCAATACCGTAAACTCAAGCGTAAGTGAGCATTGATCACGTATTATTGGTACTATAATTGCTGGCGTCTGTCTATAGTACAATGCAAGGCTGTATATATATAAGCCACGTGCCTAAAATTGTAATATATTTAGTGACATACTAGCATTTAGGAGCATCTTCACTGTTACTTATGCATAAATTTGCGCTAAGCTTGCTGAGATTGAAATTAATTTTCGCTTGAGAAAAACAGTTCTGCTGATGCGTTCTAGTCCATGCAATGTGGTGGGTGGGTAGGAAAAAATATTGAAGCATCCTTCACGTATGAAGAATTTCCAAGCAAGACGTGCAGTGCTGCGGAGTTCGCCTTTAGCAATGTCATGGTGAGTAATTGTAAGTCGGGAAAGTTCGTAACGTCTGTAGCCTAATGAAGGAAAGAAAACTTACGAGAGGAGCAGGCTAGGCACTAGCCCTAAGCACGAGCTGCTTGAGTTTCAAATTGAATGAAGCAAAGGTGGAGCAAAATTCAAATGAAGCTCGAAGTAACATAATTAATTTATGGCTCATTTAGAAGCTTCTCTTATCACAACGTTGTTAGTCAAGATGAATGGAGTATAGCCTAATTGCAGATAGAACCCGCAAATTGTTTATTATCTTTCTGCTTAAAACTATTCCCATTAACCGGGTTTGAGATTGCCATTGTGCGTTTCGTAGCTAGGAGGGCTGCGATAATGGTAATGGAAAATTTTACACCTTTGATCTCATTACATTGGTGAGCATTTTGTAGCAGTCCCAGGCCACGCGGGATTAGTTACACATCGTGGCTTAAATTCACAGTTGTCGATATTGACCATGTTGAAGCCCTTGCGTTATAGAACTGATAAACAGTCGAGATAAAACATTTTGTTAAAATTCTCATTTCCACGTATAAGATAAGACGGTGAGTGAAATTATTTTTAAATATTCGCCTCGCCTTCAGCTCCTGTTCTCGAGTCATTGAATTGGTCATATTTTCATAATTTTCAGATCATATTACGCCAATTTTTGAGTGTAATAAACAACTTTTTAAAGCTTATCCAGGCTATGGCTGACTTTGTGAACATATTTAGATCATGGTTCTGAAATGATCAGATATGGCATCCGCTCACGCGACTTGTACTAACCCTAATTTCACGCCCTAAAGTCATATGTCTAAATTTGAGGAATTGAGGACAACCATCAACTTAGATATTATCAACTTAGATTGAACTTCAATAAAACCTTTTTTTTACAAAAGCGCTACATTACGGTTTTAAGAACTACCTGTATACCATCAGTATCCTTTCACCGGATCAATGTTGAAGTTACAACTCAAACGACACAGAAATTATTTGCCTGGAGAGAAAATAATTGATGCCGCAACTTTATTAAATTCTATCATCAAATAACATTAAAACAGCTCTGTTACCACACATTCAGTTTCTTTTTCCGGCAGCACGACACGATGCACCGCTGACATGGATATCCTAATTTCGAACTGGACTACCACAAGTGGGACTACCTAACTTCGCTAGGATGCTCGTCGCCAATTTCTGCGAGATTCGCCGTGGCGATACCGGTCACGAAACTACTCTCTACTCATTAACCGTTTAAACTAGGCCAAAGAACGATAATTAGCCACAGTTGGCGTTTAAAGGCGACGCTTGCCGCCCATACTGGCCCCTAAGGCAGCCGGAACGCATTTCCAGAAGTCCAAGCGCAAAGACTTGATCAAGTGTCATCATTTGGACTTGATCGCGATACTGATAATATCGTTCGCGTGTAGCTTCGTTAGAGCAGGTTCTTTAACGTTGCTTGTGCATGATCCAGCAGACATGCCATTGCAGTCTAGTGGACTTTCATTGCACTTTAAATGTAAGAGAACTTGTAACTTGATAACCAATCGTCATGTTTTTCTCCCATTTCTTGTTATGTTATTCTAACATTTCACATGTTCTCCCATTTCAAAGGCGAAATGTTATTTGGTCGAGGTACCCATGCAACCAAATGACCGTATATTCAATTCCGTCTCCATTTTTGCTGGTCTGTCTAAATTATTACTGGATATATTTTATTATTTTGATGACTTCAGATGCTTTGACCAAAGTAAAATTGAAGATGATCGGCCAAACTCGTCTGAACATAAAATTGTATAGCAAAGCAAAAAAAGAAGTGATGATAATCATGGAATAACATTCAAACCAATCGAGCATACTTTGTGTTAACATTCGTATGAATACACTTATGGGTACCGGTATTTAAAATATGTAATTATTTAAAACTTAACTATATTAAACGTAATACTCTTAATCCTTATCTTAAGTTTTATGGTTTTGAAGTACTTGTTGAATTGGTTCATTGCATTGTTGTTGAGTTTAATTTATCATGTAAAATTAGTAAAAGTGGCATAACATATCCATTTTACAGAATTTATACTTTACCATTTCATCACAGGAATTGAGAGTAGATTTATATGTGTGAATTTGGTATTGAATTTCAGCTTCACTTGAAAAATGTTTAATCGTACCTACACAAATCAGCTACACTGTAAATTTTAAAACATTTTCCAATATAAACCACATTTTCCAACCTATAACCGACGCGAAAATTATATTTTTGATGAAGATGGTTGAATTATTAAACGTATGTATGAAGATTCACGTTTTTAATAACATTGGACACAACAGGTACACTTGTTCTTCTTGGTCGATTATTTTCCGATCAAGAAATGCAACTTCTCCAATTGGATTCAATTACAGTTACTACACCATAATGCATATTAAATGATAAACCCTAACTCACGGCTTACCTTACCATTATATTACAAACCACGACATACTGTAATCGCTCTGCAGGAAAGCCGCTTATCTGGTCAATTTAAGATTCAAGTCGCTTGTCCCAGTCAAGTTATCATTCAAGTCGCTTGCTAACTGTCAAGTTCACAACTTAAAAATAATCATGACAGATCCTAAAAAAGGCACCCAGACACGTGCTTTCTTGCACGTGTGTAAGAGAAATATGACAGTGTATCGAACTAATTGCACAATTTTAATTTTGTGCTAAAATTCAAAATTTATTTGTCGTTTAAGTTGTACACCAAAAACTTAACTTGCCTCACTTCATCGCTTTGTACTCTGTTTTTTATTGTATTGAATATCTGGTTTATTCAATTATTTTATTAATAATACTATTTTTCCCAATGAAAGTTGCTAAATAATGAAAATGCACTGAGCTTGATTTCGAATTATATAGCAACTGGTGCAATAATTTCTCTACTCTTATTTTCACAGAGAAGATTCTGTTATTCAATGTTACCGCTGATGTATTGAATAATGAGTGCTTTGGTGAATTAGCAGTTAATTCATCGTCTAAAGAAAAGTTGAAGAACCGAATTATAAACTTCGTTCCAAGACGACGAAAAGAACTGAAGCTACTACTCAACATTTCGAACGGGTGAGTTTGATCTCTATTTTTTTTTCGTTCAATTCTGAATTGGGAGCAATCTCTGCTCAAATACTTTACCAACGTCAAATTTCGACTAAATTTAGTAAACCGTACTGCCATTTAAATATTCAGAGACGACAAATCTGAATTGTTCTGCGTCGCGATTCACATTAGGATTAATTCGACGCACCATTTCATTCTTATTATTTAATCTGCCAGTGTTAATGAGACCTAATCGTTATTGATTTGCTATTTATTCTCGTTGCAGATTGTTATTCGACAAACGTGCTGGGTCTTGACAAAGTTCCAGCCTGGATGCTCATCCTCGTAAAACTGATGCAACAGCATTATGACGATTAACATTCTAAGCGCTCTCAACAATTGGTTTTGGAGTGAGAAGATATGGCTCCCTCCCAACACAACATGGGCGGACCGTGTTTCGACTCCAGAGAACCAATTACCGAATTTTATGGATTTATGGACGTATCCCTTCGCCCTTGCTGTCGTCTTTAACATCATTAGATATGGAATCATGAATCCACAGGTGTATGGCCCCATCGCTGAGCGATACGGCATCAAAAACATAAAACCGAAAAGTGTAGTTCCAAACCCAGTTTTGGAGGCCTTGTTTAAGAAACATAATAAGAAGATTCCCGAAGCTGAGATAACAAGAGCGGCTCGTCAACTCACTTGGTCCGAACGGAAGGTGGAACGATGGCTGAGAGCCAGAGGTGCAATGAATAGAATAAATACATATACCAAATTTTTGGAGTGCGCTTGGCAGCTCACATACTACACTCTCGCTTTCATATTTGGACTTTATATTCTTTCGGATAAGATTTGGCTTCACGATATAACTTATTGCTGGAAAGGTTACCCTCACTACAAACTGGACAACGACGTGTGGCTCTACTACATGATATCCCTTGGGTTCTATTGGGGCACAACCGCAACTCATTTCCTGGAAACGAGGCGAAAAGATTTTTATCAGATGTTGGGTCATCACTTGATTACGATTGCTCTCATGGTATTTTCGTTTACCTGCAACTTCTCAAGAATAGGTTCTCTTACTCTAGTGGTGCATGATATTGCTGACATTCCCCTTCAGTTGAGTAAGCTTTTTATCTACCTCAAGTGGAAGAAATGTTGTGATATTACGTTCACGCTATTCGCATTGTTATGGATGGTAACTCGTTGCGGGTACTTCCCTGTCAACATTGTCGGCAGTACATTGCTGTATGCTCATACTGTAGTGCCCATGCATCCAGTGTACTACATATTCAATTTGCTTCTGAGTGCTCTAGCTGTTCTGCATTTTTACTGGGCGTACTTCATTATAAGAATCATTGTCAACACTGCCAGAAAGGGTGTAGTTGAAGATGACCGATCGAGCTCAGATGGAGAAGTTGTAGAAGAAGATCAAGACGATGGTGTCTTGAAGAAAGAGTCCTAACTTGATGCAGAATACTCTTCAATACAATGTTGTGGGAACAATTGTAAAATTGTAAGTTTTTATTTTTACTAACTGTTAGACTTGCATATGAAATCATACGCATAACTGTGAGAGGACTTGTTACCACCGTCAGAATGGTGTAGCTTTTAGGGTCGGTGGAAATTGGTGGTCTTGAAAGCTCCAGATATATTTTTGTGTAATAATTTCATTGAAGCTGTTTTTAATAATTATGACTGACGCGCTAATTTAATAGCCAAATATGAGCATATTACTTTTAAATGTTATTTGCGATGCGCTTTGCTTTCATAAAAGTAATACACTTATAAGTTATAACGTATTTAAACATCGCATGATGGACGTTATTTCTCGATCGATTATTAAATATTAACAATAATGCAATTTTAGGATATTCTAAATTTGGTGTTGCTAATAAATTTTATGGCTACTGTGAGTTATTTTTCTTCGTGTCATGTTAGGACTATTAGACATTGGTGAGGCTATAATGAATAATCCATGGTTACCATGGAGTAATCTTTTGTGTTTTTCATGCAATTGACATTTTCGGATGTTATTCAACGTGATCGTCTTGAATTTTGATTCCAAAAATCTGTAGTGTATGAACACTTGTACGTTTATTTATGCATATAGGCATAAATGTGCTCGGGCGGAATTCGATTTTTTTTTTGTGAATAGAGCACACAGAATGAGCTGTTGAGATTAAAACATTCAAGTTATGTGAATAAAGTTTCGTTAAGAGCCTTTCATTTGCTTTTGATGCGCGACAACATTTCTTCTCGCTTCGAGTCATCGACATGTGGAACGCCTATGGTTGAACTATACTACTTCAACCATGGAACAGCCTCACTGAAGATATTGTTGACGCTCCGAGTATGAACGCGTTCAAGAACAGACTAGACACGGCCATGCAGGAGCATATGTTTAGTTTTACAAATGCCTCGTATCCTACGGAACAACTGAAATCTAGAAGCGATTTTAAATCTACCGCCCGTTGAAAAGATTTGATCAAAAGGCCAGACTAGCCAAAAAACGTACAAGAATCGGTGACAAGCTTATCCAGGCCTATTCTTCAATGCCGAAGATACTATACTATAGGTACTATTGTGTATAGTTCCTGCTCATAGATTCATGCGTACGATTTTTGGTCGTCGGCATTATACTTCTTTTATTTCATACGATTATGAATCTTTATGACATAGGATCATTTCCTATGTATGCCTTTGTTCGGGTCCGTGAACATAGAATTAATCATGTGAATTTCACATAATGATTGAAGAATCGACGTCAAGTTGGATTTTAAAGTGCCGTCCGACGTCCGTTATTGTCCGAAGAGGGGGTTCCGTGGAAAGGGTGCGCCGTCATACAAGTTTACAACAAATTCAGCGTCGAACTGACGGTACGTGGACTTCTTATACGTTTAAAGTTTAAGTTTTTAATATCAAAAATAAGCTAGAAAATTAATGTTTATGTTACTGCTTAGCTATTGATATTAGTCTAAGAAAATGTGCCGTAACTGGAGTTAATTGGGCACGGTCGGCAGCCTCGGAGACCGGAGTCTCAGACCTCTGTGGTCAGTGTGGTGTACTGCTCAGTGCTCGGCGGTATTGTGAGTTGTGACTCATGCGGCCAGGCCTACAGGCTACAGCCAGCTGCCAGTAAATAGTTTGGATTTAAATCCAGATTTAAGCGAGTCCTGCTGTCGGACTCGCTTCACTCGCAAGTCGCAACTCAATTCCAATTCTAACAGTTTGAGGCTGGCTCATGCTGCAACTTGCCTACTTGCGAGCCTGCAAATTGAACCTTCCTGCCTCTGTGCCTCAGAGTCAGAACCACACAATTCCTGCTGGATGAATTGCCTCTTATATACTACCTAATTCAGCTAATTGTCAAAAGTGCACAATCAGGCGGCAGTCCACATGATTTGGCCTTTTGGGGATTGATTCCAAATGTAATGAAACTTTATCAAGTTAGATTGTCACCAACTGGTGACTGGTCTCAGACCTCTCACCTCAGTCAGTCTGTCAGTGCCCAGTGGTCTGGTCCAAGACTCCAAGTTCAATTTTAGCCTGTTTAAACAACAAAAATACAGAAACAAGTAAGAAAATTCTAATCCAGCATCATTCATGCAGCTACAGGCGCCAGCCGCCTCTAGGCATAGCTGCAAACCAGTGATTTTTTAGAATCGGTGTATTTTTAATTTTCTCATTTACCATAGATTTAAGCCAATAGTTTATGTATGATGATGCTGGTAGCCTATCCATGATGATAGTCATGATACTTTTCTTGTCTACTTATAGGACTTGAAATTGGACTTGAAGGAAAGTCTAAAAAACTCTCTTCTTTGCCACTATGGCACCAGCCGCCAGGCCCCCAGGCCCAGGGTGCAGAAAGTGGGTGATGCCAGGCCCGATTGGAAATTTAAGGTAATGATCAGGAGTACTGCTTTTCAAAATTCTCACGGAATTACACCAAACCGCCATTGCACGGATTTTGTAAGAGATCTTGAACATTCTCACGGAATTGCTATGTTTTCACGATTCATCATTTAAACAACTAACATCTCAATTTCGTCTAAAAAAAGATTACTCATTACGTTGCTTTAATCCTTGAGCGTAGAAAATAAACACCTAAATTGTTTTAGTGTACTGAATTACTGCATCCACCGCACCTTCTTCAACTCCACAGTGCACGCTATCAGTTCCGTCTCCTACGATGCGGATGTGATCAGCCCGGTATGGAAAATTGGGCAAAAACCACCCGTGGCCGAGCAAAAATCACCCGTGCACGTGGTAAACCTTCACCCGTGCACGTGTGACGGTGAGACAATCTCACCCGTATTTTTAGCCTTTCCACCCGCACCCGTGGGGCCGTAGCGCACGCGGTTTACGAGGATTTCACCCGTAACGACCATAAGCGAAGTATGCCACAAGAAATAACTCATTAAACGCAAGCCAGCTTATCCAGGCATAACCAGATCTGAAAAACAGTTATATATTACGGCTATTGTAATAATTGTTTCAAATACCTAGTGACTGGATAGATCATGGCTCACCTATACTAAGTGGACACGCAGTCCGAATTCCGGAAAATTGTGCCACCGACAGTCAGTCCGCGCCATATCGTTCCCCCAAAAAAAAAAGTACTAAAAAAATTTACAATCATGGTGAGAAGAGCATGGATGAATTTAAAAGTACTATTTACTGTTTAAAAATAAGAACTGTTAATAAGTAGGCTTAGTTTCATGGTAGGAAGTAGTGGTATAAACGTGAGCGCGTTGTCAGTCATTCTTTGCTCGTGCTGTGGGTGAGAAAGTGTGTCACTATTTGGACAATTTGAACAATTTTTGTTCTGAGTGATAAGTGCACATAACTCAAGCATGAAGCTTTAATTGTGACGCACTAAAACATTAACGCAAACGGGTAATGTCCTCCGTTTAAGGTATTAATTGGTCGGATGAGACAAGCTTTAAGCTTTAATTGTGATGCACTAAAACATTAATGCAAACGGTTAATGTCCTCCGTTTAAGGTATTAATTGGTCAGATGAGACAAGATTGAAGCTTCCAACCGCGAGAAGAGGGCAAACTGAACATATAAACTTAGTAAATTTCGAACACCCACTAGCCAATAACTTGCAAAATTTGCCCACAACAGAAATGTGTCAGTTTCCGGGGCATCAGATATTTAGGGAGACTATCACTTTTTGAATTTATAATCAGAGTTAGTCCAGTTTTCCACAGTAATAAATACGTTTTATCACTAAATTTTCTCACAATTGAGTTATGAACTTTAATATCATTCGATTTACTGCCAGTGTTTCCTATATTTCTTAGCTGACTCCAAATAAGAAGTCGTTTAATTTTCGTCGTCAGTGTTGCCAGATGGGCCTTTTTCAGGCCAAATTTCGCAGATGTGGCCTTTTTTAAAGGCATTGGCCTGACAAAAAATAATTTGGCCTTTTT